ATAAAGTAATTATGTAAATTTTAAGACTAGAATTAATCAAATGTAATAAAAGCATGCCTTGAAAGAAACAAAATGTTTTAAATGATTGCAAGAAAATAACTGCTAGAAATATTCTGAAATATATCTTAAGCTAATTTAAAGGGCGTGGTCACAAAATTTTCTGCTTGCTACGCCCGCAGGGAAGCTTCTTCTTTCAGAAAATCCTAGGACCTGCGACAACCTGGGCTTTCTGTATTGCATGGCCAAAAAGACTCATTGCCACTACCACCATAAAATGGCGGCCTGCTTCTCTTCTTTTGTATGAAACACAATACACCACAATAATTGGAGTGAATACAATTTCTATCTTTTTATATTTGGATAAGAAGTTTTTTTTGGTGTGGGTATCTATAAAGCTAGCCAGGCGTAGTTTTGAAAGATTAGTGGCAGTTATAGATTTGTATTATATAGACAAACCTCAGATTACATAAAAAATATGTAATATACAGTAAGGCTGTGTTTTGGACAATTCTAAGAACATTGAAATATGTAACATGATTAGAGATCAAGTCTCTAAAAACAGCATTTTATGAAAAAAACAGCTAGAAACAGTTGATTTGCCTTTTAAGGATCAATCAATAACTTACAAACACAGTAATTGCATTCCACTCAATATCCCTAATCGCAAAGAAATACTATATTGACTCCATAGGGTGGAAATGAAAAAAAAATTCCCTGTTATCAGGTTTGCTACTCTGTTTTCTTTTCGCCAGGTTTGATATGTTCTGGTAAGATTTATACATAATCAGTGGTAGCTGTAGTTAGGCCAAATTATACTGAAAATGTCCCTTAAAACAATATAAAACGTTTTTGGTCCGTCCAAAAGAGGTCCAGTCAAAACTTAGCCACACCCTTAGCCACACCCTATTTGGCCCGAAAATCTGCTTTTTACGCTGTTTTGTGCAGTGATGAAAATTCCTTAAATTAATGCCTGGTCAGGGATTTTTATGGTTCTGGCGTTTGCTTTTAATGAATCCACATAACATACATCAGAATCATACAGGTCAGCAGTACAGTACCATATAGTCCTTTAATGTTACACGTGGTTTCAGAAGGAATGCTAGAGGCCACAATCTGTAATTTATCTAACACTAATCGACAAAACTAACAACAACAAAAGCAGAAAAAAAGACAGCATTAGCGACAAAAAACAACAACAGCCACAAACTACATAAATAACAACAAACAATATTTGGTGGTACAAATATTAAAAATGACTTGAAATAAGCAAATATAGATTGAAAACTTAAAGCTAGGAAGTATAGATACCCCAATGGTGGATCTAAATAGGTCATTTTGTGTCATTTTATTTAATATTTTGGCTTTGCAAACATACAAATTTGCAACTTGTTTTCATTTGCAGAATATACTTCGCTTCAACCGCTCAGCTTATAGACCATGAATAATACTTAAAGACCCATTTTTAGATGAACATAAATGAACAAGACTTGTGATCCAAAAATTGGAAAGAAATAAAAATGGCGAAAAGATAATAAATGTAATTTAAAAATTTAATAACATTCAGAGTTTAATGGCTGTAATCAGTTGACTGCTTCTGTTGAAACCTTTTATCTTGATAGGGAGTAGTTTAAGTGAGGGACTTACTCAAATTGTATTATTAGCATAGTTCCATCTCCAAGAATGCAGCAGAATTAACTACCTTTTAAGTGCATTGTTGGTAGCTCAACTTTCATTTCAAACGATTCTGGTTCTCAAATTCTAGACAAGAGCAAAGATATTTTCACTTTGTGCCATTGAAGAAGGAGGAACATCGGTAGCAAGGCAAAACAGAAGCAAGTTGAGAGGGTCAAATACTCCTAGATTTTAACTGGGTGGATGCACGACTGCATGATTTTCACCAATATCAACGCTTTAGGAATTCAATTCGGTAGAGGTATATAGTTACATAAACCGACTTTACTTGAAAGTCATATTGCCATTTGGTACTTGAACAAAATTATTACACTGGAAAATCATTTCACTCTTTATTACTCTTATTTAATAAAATTCATAAGATTAACTCCATCGCATTCTAATCTATCTTAATGAAAATTATGCAGTCATGCTGCGCACGGCACAAGATAGTTCCAGGTAGACAGATACAAGTTTAATGCCCTCTAGATATCTCAAAATATTTTATTTGGTGTGATTTTTCTAAATTTTGAAATCTGAAACTTATCCAAAAGGCCTGTTCCCCATGCTTTGTGCCCAGTACACCAAATCAGACTTCCTTTCAGCTTCTGCCTGACATTTTTTTTATCAGTCTTCTTTTTCTGTCCAAGCAGTTGCCCAGAACTGCTTTCTTGAGTAGGATTTTGTAGTGTAACTTAATTTGAGTTTGCAGTCATACTTATGTTTTATCTCAGAATTTTTTTATAATACCACCGTACATAGTTAATCGTGTAGCATCTCGACAGCTGCATAGTAGTGCTGCCCAGCACTCTAATTCTCATAAGAATGTTCTTTTAGCTTTCTAACTTTAAACCGGATCATTCGACTTTTGCTAACAATAATTATTTCAAATTTCCTATCATGCATCAATTTTGGATAAATTTATGCTGCAAACACTACCTAAAAGCTTCTTGAAAAATTTGATCGAAAAGCTGAATTTGTAAGAGAATGGTCAGTAGAATTTGAAGGCATCGAGCATTAAGAAAGATTAAAACTTCCCAAATGGCAAAAGCAGTATGTTGAAGAGACATACATATACTTTTGCAGAAAGGCTTCCATGGAGCTTAAGAAGATGCTATCCTACTTAAGGAAGAAAGAGACTCTGCAACTCTAGATGATAGATCAAAGCTCTAGCTCTAACAAGACTCTTATCCTAGCAAAAAGTAAATATGGGGTGTATTTAGCTGGTACCTATAGACAAGGGCATATGGATCGCTACTCTGCAGTAAGAGCAAAGGGAAACATCAATAACAAGGTAAAATCAGTAGAAATACTACTACTAGGTCACTGCTTAAATACTACTAGATCAGAGCCGGCGAAACGTATTTGAAAGTGGAGGGGCGAAAAATCAAGGTGTTGAAAGATTTTTGGAAAGGCCGCCAGGTATTGGAAGATTTTTGGAAAGGCCGCCCCCGGATGGCGGCAAGAAAAGCTTAAGAAATATGTTATCTAAGGGATGGCCAGAAACTGTATTTAAAATGGATTTTGACTGAAAGAAAACCCGAGGAAATATTGTCAAGCTTTTTTTTATCAATGTGTCGCATAATTTCGTCTATTGTAATGTTGACATGTAATAGGAAAGGTCTTGCAAATTTTTAGAATAACCTTTCAATTGTAGCTCATAATCAAGCTGTTTTAGAATAAAAAGGAGCCAAAATGAAATGGAGGAGAAAAATAAATGAGTCAAGCTTTAGCAAAAACATTAACATTGAAGTATCAACAGAAGCACTGTCAACTAAAAATGAAAGATTATGCAACAAAAAGACTCTGGATTTGAAACTTTCAAACTGGACTGGTCAAAACGAGTTTTGATAGAACTTATAATTACCTCTAGATTTTCTTATATATAATTACCTCTATAATTACCTTTCTTAGTAGGAAAGGGTTATTGATACAATCAATGTGAAGCTTTCTCGATGGTCTGCCGATTTTTTATTCATCATATTCCCAAAAAAAATTTTCCAGCAGTAACTTTTCCTTCAACAGCTGATTTCTCTCTTTTGTGACGTTTTTGAGAAATTTTCCGTCAACAAATAGACCTTGGGAGCAAAGTTTAGGCCATAGAAAAACAAGAATCCATCATTTGGTGAAGGTACCAAGTTATTCTGAATCAGGTTTCTCGATCTTTTTTCTTAGCCAAGCTTTTACTCGTTGTACAACTTGGATAATGACCAATTTTTTGGACAAAATTCCCTTTTTCTATTTTTTCTTTGGTAAATAAATAGCTACCTAGCTTACTCTATATTTACATTTAAGATATTACTAAGCACAGTTACCTACAGAATGGTAGATTATATTTCTTTCCACTTTGCCTAAAAAAATTATTTTGCTCTGCAGAAAAGCGGAGGAGCCATTACCCCCCGGCCCTGCCCCCCTGTTTCACCGGCCCTGTAGATTCAAACTCTCATCTAAAAAAAAGTATTTTAAAGAGCTTTGAAAAGCTTATCTGCGATTGCGCATATTGTTAGAAGCAGTAAAATCAATACTTTGGCGGATTAGCTTGGCTTCAGAACTCCTCCTACCCATCAGTCACCTGCTTCATGCATGTTAGCGCTTTTCCAAAAATACTTTTGTGTTTTTAGAATTCTCAATGATCTGCAAGCAGCTCATACGTTTTCTATACACGTTGCTGATCTTGCATAACCATTTGTTTTTCAAACCTTTCCTTGAAAACATGCATATTGGCATGATTAAAAGATCAAAACATCAAAAGGAGCATAAAAATTTCTGTCAGTTGACAAAAATTTTATAAGTACGTAAGCACAAGATATCATACGTTCCGGTGTTAAGTGAGATTTACGTATCCTTGTTTTAATGATGCATGCTACTAGAGTCAAACTTTTGATAATGATTTTTGTTGTTGATGCCTGGAAAAAGGGCTTCCGGTAACACTAGATAGTTCAGGGGACCATGACCTTTTAAATTGGAATGTTATTATCTGACAAGCAGAATAAGGCTATTAAACACAAGGTGCCTTATCATGGACACAATTCTTGTTTATTTTTAGATTCTTAGTTCTTCTTGCAGGAAATTCACTGTATAAGTAGGATATACGTTGCTGAAAGCCTGGTGTAAGAATGGTCCATTTTATGTTCTTTTGAAACACTTTACCCCCACTTTACCCCGGCAATTAAAAAGAAATGACCTTACTCTTGTGTATGAAAGCTAAGAGAAAAATTTTTTTCACAGCGCCAAAACCTCACAAACGTTTCAGAAAATAACAAATCTAGTACACAAACTATTAGGTCCTATCAAATATTCGCGTCATCATTCAGGGTCGTCATCATTTCGCTCAAGAATCTTTCACCAGAACAAGCATTTTTTTAAGTCAGAATGCTTCTTTTCTAAATCGTTATATTTCCGGTCTCTTGTTTAAGGCCCACAATCAAAAGCGAATTTTCAGATTAGACTATCCCTATCTTTGCCAAGATGCCCTCTGCTATTAAGAGGTATTGTTTATAGAATATCAAAAACCCATCGCTGAGATCGACTTCTGACAAAACATGTCGAAATTTCAAAAAGCTATCTTGATTCTATGCAAGTAGCTAAGTAACTAAGACTATTGTCATAAAAACTCCAGGAGATGTCTTTAATTATAATCACACAAAATACAACAACGCTACGAAAAGTGGCTGTCCCTCCTCATACCGCAAAATTGGTCACTTGGTCGTCTTTCGCTCAGTCGCTTGTCATTCAAGGGATATTGCAATCGAGATGATTTTCTGTCAACCATGGAAATCTTACGTTTCGGTGTTTTAACAATGACACTGCTATTATTGCCATTGCTGTTTTCAATTCTCCGATTCCAATTTGCAGATACAAGCACAGCATCGACAAAGGTCGTCTCATCGAAGCGCTGAATTTCTTTGCAAAATTTTGCGAAACGCTTTGCTTTAGATTTATTATAAAGCTGCAGGTTAGTTTCTTCATTATCGTCGTCGTCACCAAGGATAGTTACAACATTCTTGCTAAACGATATTTCGTCAATCTCTTGTACGTCCCATTTTACAAATTGCCTAACATTGCCATTTTCATCAAAGAAAATCCGAATACCATTAGGGCCAACGCTTATTAAACAATTTGTAACTGGCACTATGTTACTGTCAGCTATATCTCCGTAAAAGATATGGGTACCAACAACTGGCAACTTTAAAGCCAACTTGATAAAAGAAATCTGTGCTTCAAAGAGTGTCATAATTGGTAGATTTCTTGAAATACTGCAAATGTCTGAAATGATACTATCCATTGTATTTGCTTTGATGACTTTTTGAGGCAAGTAATAGGAAATTATGCCATCTTGACTCAACAGTTTCCCATCACAAGGATCTATTAGCATCGCGTAAAAAGCAAGCTTGATACATTCGTCATTGTAATCCTCGAAACCAAGAAGGTTGTGCATTTTGATCAAGTCCCATCGAAGCTGCTCGTAAAGGAATCTAATAGTGTTGGGGCTGAGAATATCGAGTGATGATACAATGTGTTTAATTCTTAAATACATCTTACATGTTTTAATCAACGTGTCTGCAACAGAATGACACTTATCGCTACCAGAAAGGCTTTCCCCTGTTACAGTGGCCCACTTTGGGAAAATGTTATTCAAGCACTTGTTTCCGCCAAGAAAGTGATATTCATTATATCTGTACAAAGCCAATCCAAATATATCTGTCTCTGCGATACCTAAACGTGCGCAAGCACTTGTCAAAACATTACAGCAAGACTCCTTGATGCTATGAATCAATGTTAAACTGGAGTTATCCGGGCAAATTACGTGGATTAAGAACTGTTCACTAAACTTCCACAGGCATCCAATGGAAGATTTGCGTCGTTTCATAGTAACTAGATCGCTTGTACTATACATCTTGTATCTGCTAAGCATTTGTCATGAGATACTATGATTGCATTTTATGCTTTCTTCGTGCATATTGGTTATGCTATGAAAGTCGTTTTCCGCATTACTTAGAAAAATTGTTCAATAGCTTTCAAAAATCGTCAACCCTCGTACAATAACAGCAATAAACGTTCGCAATAAAGCTTTTAAGTCGTCAAATGAATTTCACGCATCCAGAAGAGAGTGTCATAATACTTCAATTGAAATATCCTATTCGCGTATGCAGCTATACAGACATCTGTGTCGCAAATGACAATATAATCATTGTTTAGTTCTCTAACGTGCACTTTTTAATGTTGCAGCAATTACGCCTCTTCCAACAGACAATGCAGATTTCTTGAAGAAAGATACAGCTTCGTTATTCCCTAACACGCCTGTTATAACAGCTTTCCTTTGTAAACAAGAATCGCTCGATATGTTCTGAGTAAACAGATAATCGTCTCTCAAATTCTATCGATAAGATTCAGTTTAAAAGCAAAGGCAGCTGAAGGACCTGGCAATTCGGTGTATATCTATTTCATTATCAGCTTATAAACTCAATTCACTGAAACCACATTCAATCAATCTTGCAAAATCTTGTATATCCACAGACAAATTTTGATAAAAAATTTTAAGCCTATAAAGAACGCGAACCAGTTGCTGAAATTCCTCAAAGAGCATACTAAGATTCACTTAGCGTATCCTACCAAAGTTTCTGCTTTGTACGGCATTGCTGCCTTCCTTAGAAAAACTTCTGCTCGCCAAACTACTTGTCTTGAACACTTCTATACAAGTTAAACTTGGTCCTCATCAAGCATGTTATGTACCGACGTCTGTATGAAACAATGCTTTCTTGGCGTCTCGTCCTGACTGATTTTCGCAATTAAGCAACCCAATAGTCACGTGAAGCCTACTTGAAGGACATGCTTGAACTTATTTTTTGATGATAGATGCAAGGTTGGCCATTGTTTGTTACCATGGGAAGAGTCCCAGACTACAAAAGAATGCAAATTACAGTGTCTACTCGCACTGACCAGTTGCTGCAAAAATAGGACAGGTGTTTCTTCTTCTACCAGCAGCCGAAAATAAAATAAGGTAACGACATATAAAAACGCACTGATGAGAATCTCTTTCAATCTACTGCAAAACGCAGAAGGAAAAAGCAAATGCATTAACAATCTCTTTCTGTATTTTTCATTGATGCTACCTGCCCTTAAATTACTAACAGAGTTTTGCATGACCGTTTTGTGTAGATTCTTTCATGCTGTATGTAATTCTGTCTCGTTGGGCTATCTCTCCTTTTACAGCAAAAAGTTGAGCGCAATGCAAAACAACAAAAGCTACTTGATGATGAATAAGTTGGTGATCTTGATTAATTAATAACATCGTTAAAGGAGAGATGCCGACTCTAACATTTCTTTGAAACAGAAATCGCCATTAACTCATATGGATTCTTTTATCTTTACCGAAAAAAGGCTGCGACTAGAGAAAAGGCTTAGAGAATAGTAAACCATAATTATTGCCATATGTTAAAAGGTTAGGAGGCTATTATGTTAACTATTAACATTTTAGATGCTGCTACTGACAATTTCTTGAGTATGAGCAAATTGACGAAAGGCATTAAAGCAATAAGCTATCGGTGCAAAGCTCCCTTGTACAAAACTGAAATTAGAGCTCTCAAAATTGTGTATCAGAATCTAGACAACAAGAGTTATTTTTCTTGAAAGCTGTTCAGATTACAAACAAGATAACAACTGAAAATAAATTGTTTTCATTTTTGCCAAAGAAATTTTACGTAGATTAAAAAAACTAATATCGATGAGATCTATTAGAACAAATGATGTAGTTAAAATCTTCTTGACATTGATTGTAAAAATATCCTTTAGCATTAAGCATTTGAAGCAATTAGTATTCGTAGTAAGATAACCAGCACAGTCTAATGAAACTGGGTGGTCAAAAAAGTTAGGTATTCAGAACATACAGCTAAAACTGTCGATTCAAATACCATGCTAGCTTATGAGGCTAAGTGTAGTTTAAAAGATTGGGACTTACGCTGAGCTCCATATTTTTGTTACTGCTTTCATTAGCCAATGATCAGTCTCACTTCGACATCAATAGCAAATCTACAAATGACAATTCAATTCAATAAAGAATCATTCAACAAGTCGGAATGGCAGCAAAAATATTCTGACCGTATCCCTTAAAGGAAAAGTTTTGAACTAAAATTCTATTACCAAAGCTAGGAATTGGTGACAGAGAAGTAGCCAGAAAGATGTACGTCTCTTCCATTCATTTAGGAGAAAAATTATTTTGTTAAAGAAGCTATAATCAAAATATATGTATTCTGAAGGTATTGACCTAAAAATACACTAGTCAAATTATCATAGAAGCTTTTCAATAGATTTAAAATAGACTGTGAGAAACTTTCCCGGCGGAAAAATTGAAATGCTCTTTCTAGAGACTGAACAGTAAAATAGAAGAATTGCAATAGATGTTGACAGATTCTAGCAATTAAAAGTGACCAGTCTCTAGGTCTGCGGTTGAAAACAAAGCACATTGGAATGAAGAAAAGTTAGAAAGGTCACGGTCACTTTATACAGAAATTATAGCACGATTCATAGGAAGATGCTTCAGCATCGAAAGGATCGCTTCCGATGCACTGTAATCGTGGTTGTCTTTGGATTGGGGACTTGAATTGTGTAAGGTTTTCCTTTTTCCATTGTAAATAATGACATTTCTCAAACATGAAGTTAAAGCACCCATAGCACACATGTTCACCTATTTTAAAGACAGTCTTGGCTAGAAAAGAATTCACTGTAAGAAATTCTATTTTAAGATCAGGGTTCTTCTTTGAAATATGCAAATATTTGGAGTAAAGCCAAAAATGAATTGCTACCTACTAATGGAGCTATCACATATGACACATTTCACAATAAGATGATCTGTGCGGCGATCAGCAGCTTCTTTGCTTGCTAATTTTCTTTATTTTTAATTGTTTCTCAAATGCTAATCCACGAAACAATAGTTTTATCTTATTACAAGAAAAGATGGAAATAGTTGCCGTTATATTCGATAAACATTATTTTTGGATATTGTGCATGCATTGTAAGTAAATATATTATTTTACTGTCTGCCTGGTTATTTTGCGCAACGGCTTTTACGAAAAAGGATATGAACGTATGGTGTTTCAAATGGTAAGGAAAAAACATTTGAAAAAGATAAACTGTTTAAAAATTGAATCCTTGAAGACGAGCACTCATTGACTGGAGGTAAATTTTTTCATTTTCTGTCGAGCAACGCCACCTGCTAAAAAGATCTTAAAGTATTACAATTGTTATTCACAACCACATTAAACCGCGAGTAGCTCTAGATCCTGGAAATGCCCTTGTTATCTGAAAAGCTGTTATGCGACAGTCACAGAATAGTCGAAGGATTTTCTAGCAAACCCGCAATTTGCTTGAAGGGAACTTCTTTAGCAAAACGGGAGTCGATTGTTTGCTAACTACTATCATCTATTTGGTCAAAATTATTTCACAGGAAAAGGCTTTTTGTGGTATCTATAAGCAAAAAAAGCGTTTACCACAAACATTGAAACAGCAAACTTCAAACTTTATTTTTTATCGTGATAAAATAACGTCAATATTTATCTCAGATATAGCTAACTCATTTTTCAAATATAATTAATCATTTGATGACTGTAATGGAATAATGAAACACACACCTTTGATAGCTCAGGCACTGGATGGGCAACTTTAGCTTAAATGACTTGAAGCTGGGTAACGAAAAAGAAACAGTTTGCCATCCAACAACTACGGAACTTTCATCTCAAGATCTGACAATTTACGCGCACGCGTTATTTAATATCCAGATGGGTGCATTGAATATTGATGGGTGCATGTTTAATCTTGTGCATTTCTCAAGCAATGTGTTGTCGAAATAGGCTCAGTATGTACCTATGAAAGCGAAAGAGCCTTAACAACGTTGCTTCAAGAAGGCGGCCAACTTAAATTCTCACGAACAAATCGGCTTCTCTCTTTTCTCAGTGAAAATTTCCATAACAAGCTTCTCCGATAATGGAGCACGTGACTCATACAACTCTATACTTTATTTATACGTTATTTGTCAATTTACAATCCTATTAGAAATGTGACGATTTACACGAAAAATATCGTGTTTTCGTCCAGCAAGCAGTGTACCATATTTCATAGGCGCAGAAGCCTTATGACTGAGGAGACTTCAGGGCCACTTTTAACAACTCTCCTCTTAACAGGTTGTGAAGTAAAGATTATAATGACAGGACCTTTTAAGCACAATACTAAGGGCCTCCAAGAAGAAGTGTTTTTGGATGAAAGCATATGTTTTCTAGTAACACTCACAGCAGCATTGAAATGAGCGTAAGACTGGATATGATTTGTGAGCAACCACAAAATAATCAAGCAAGATATAGCATGTCAATAAGGCTTTCCTCTAACGGACATCTATATCGTTGTAAAATTTTGTATTTAGTTTATAATGATATCACAGATATCTAAAATCTAATTGATTTTCTCAATGAAACAGTTTGAAAGTGCTAATTTTTCAAATCTAGTAATGTTTTCAAATACATCGATCAATGTTCTTGCTTTGATTTCGCAATGTTTTCCAATTTCATAATGTTTATAAATCTGATGCGAGCAAAAGGGGCGCAATGAAACGTAAAGTCGAAGCTACTGCATCAAACACAAAAAAAATCATTTTTTCAAAGCAAAGATCAAGATCTACCAAACTCAAGTCTCCCTCCGATATGAAAAAAAGCCGAAGAGAAAGTGACGAGCACTGTCTTTGATGAATCTTCTGAAACTCCTGAAAAGAACGACCAAAAGTGCGAGTAAAAAAAGCGAGTACTTAGGCTCTAAAACTTGACTTAAATTTAGTCAAGCAGAGTTGCTCCAAAACACTTCTATTTGTAAGGGCCCCACACTACTCGTCACTGAGCAGAACATACCGAAAGCGCTGCTGATCAAGCTTCTTTCATATGTTTACTTTTGCACTTAAATGTTCTAAAAAAATAGAATTGTAGAATTGTGACCATTTTTAGCTTGTTATCTTAGTTTAATTCTTTGCCGTTTTGTGTCGTTAGAAAATTATAGATTCTGTTTAATCTATTTAACACTGGTATTGTACGCAAAATCAAAACATCAGGTCCATTTATAGCGCACCGAGCTAAAAAGCCCTGTTGATATTGACGTTAAATCTGACAAAAAATCCATGTTTTCACAGCGCAGGAAAGTGTTTGCAATAACTGCAAATTTTATACTTTTTCGTACATTGAAAATTACAAGGCACTTGCAGTGCAATTTTGTCACATTCGGGGAAAGCCAGAGTTGAGGCCTCTCCCAATTAAAAAAGCTTGTTATCCAGAAAAATTGGTTAGTTATATTTACATGAAGTATTTTGTAAACTGTCACAGTTTCAGAAACCAAGCTTGACTCCTCTCATGGGATCAAATTAAAGTAAAAAATTAAAATAGCACTAAATCTGGTTGAAATTACTAGAAGTTTGCATCACTGCTATACTAGATAATTCCTCTATAGCGAAATTCCTTGTTCGTGTATAGGTGACAGGTTTCTGAAAATAATGAAAAATTAACAAATATTTCTTCTGTCTCCTGTCTTTTAGACTAATTTTTTGTCGTTATCGTGGTTAATTGTCGAAAATTTGACAAGTGCCACTTTTTCGTATTCCCGAACATAATTCAAAGAATTTCCATCATTGCAGCATGCAACGATTGGATAAGAAATCCTTCAGTCATTGAGCTATTTGTCATTCATACATTTAGCACATACAAATACATTCCCTACCTAAAATTGTTTTTCCAGCCCCTTGGTTTCTTCTCCTATAAGATCAAGAACCCAGTAACTAGAACATTCATATATGAAATCTAGGTTTCAAGCATCTCTTGATACCTACATGCAAGATAAAAGTCAATTTTTTCCATTTTGATAATAACTGAAAATCGATTTGCAAAGCCATTTGACCAATAAAATATTTTTGTTAATAAGTTCGCTTTAACTTTCATGATCATGCTGAACAGAATTCAGATTGCTACCAACATTGGCTCGTACATGTTCGATGTATGAGTCAAAGCATCGATGCTGTCTTAAACTCCAGCAAAGGCGCAGGAACCGGGAGGCACAGTGGGCACGTATCCCCCTTTTTCAACAATTCAGTTTCCCTGCCCCTTTGCAGCTCACCGAGTTGTTTTTTTGCCAACTGCATAGCCAAAAAGTGCCCTTGGATTGCTTCGGAGCTATACAAATGAGCAAAAGGGTGACCTTTTGGGGCCATGATCTAAAATGTTTCTTTTCGAAATGCTTTCAGAAACACTGAAAAGCAAGCTCAAAACAAAGTTTACCGAAAGGTGGCGGCGATGGAAAATTGGCCATGGGCCTTGAGGTTTAGGGACCTCTTTGAGGTTTCCAGTTTGTGAAAGCAATTAGTAAAACATAAAAAATCTCAAAATTTTCATCGTTCAATACTTGTGATCAATTACAAAAAACACGTATGCAACATAAGTTATATTTGATTCAAATGATATTTAGCGTTGGTAATTTTTGGCTTTATTTAGCTTGAATATAGCTGCAGATTGTACCAACTTTAAATAAAGAAAGCAAAAAAAACAGTAAGTTCAAAGGAGTTATATCGAAAAGTTATATCAAGCTATGTAGATTGTCATCAGAAAAAAATTATGTTTTAATGTAAAATAGGATTGGGTCCAGCCTCCCTTGATGGTTGATGGTTTCTTGAAGGTTTTGAGAACGAAGTTTGACTGTGGTCTTGATTCAAATGTATCATTATGGGTCTTGCCTTCATTTCTGAGAGTCTTTAGGGCGTAGCAACGCAAAACTTCCCTTAGGACTACGCTCCGAGAACATCGACCCTCCCTCCCTTGACAGGGCTTTCACCTACAACCAGGCTTTGTCATCGGCTACACGACGATTCACGATCTGTTTTATCAGCAAACTTTGACACCCCAAGGTGCCCTTTCTGCCAGTCCTGCCCCCGCCACATCATGAAGCTTCCGGCACCTCTGGTGATATTTATGTTGGCTTGGAAATTTTCATTTACTTTTAATGTGCTTTTGGGGCTACATAACACGTTATCTTATGAAATTCGAAGGTACAAGACAATCAACTTGAAATTGAAAGCTGTTGAAGTGAAAATTGCTACCGGTACATGAAACAAAATGTGTAAAGGTATTCAATCATTATCAATTTAGCTTTTAACAGATATTCTATAATGCGAGAAAATACTAACATTGATATGGTGTGAGTGGAGGATTTACAGGTACCTATCCATCCTTGCTGCCTGCTGCTGCAATTTCGTTTCGTTTCGTTGATTATAATAAGCCCTTCTATTAGCAACCCCTTTCTACTGAAAACTGGTCGACATGAACACCCCCTTCTATTAGCACCCCCTTCTATTGAAAATTGGCTGAAATGAACCCCCCTTTCTATTACCTTACCTCCCCCTTCTATTAGAGACACTAGAGTATACTGATGAACTTGTCCTCTATTACGTGTCGCATTACAACGTTTTAACTTTGCAAGTTATAGAACTCTACATTTAGACTTTGGTACTTATACCTATTTGTACCCAGGCTACTGTCTGGTATTGCAGTATAACCTTACAACTATGCAAGTAGTACAACCGAAACTTTGCTTCCTGGCTTAGTCTGACGTGACTAGTCAGACTAAGTATGGCGAAACAAGGAAATCCTAGAAAATATTTTTTCTTGATAAAACTTGATGTACAAGATACTTTATAAGACCTTATTGATAGTTCTTGCAAGTTGAGCTGTGAATGGCTTGCCATGTCTTTTTAGGCGGGCTCTTATGAAAAACAATTATAATTTATGAAGATTCAGAATAAGAATATGGCAGCCTCGACATTTAATGTAGTTCGTATTCTAAACTTTCAACAACCCTTGCTGCCTTTATATTACGGAGAAAGAAAGAGAACAAAAGACAAATTGACGCATACAGAGGGAGTAATAGATAGTATATTGCCACATGTTGAGCGAGATGAAATGATTTTTTGCTTCTTTGCAAATCCACAAATGAACTCTCTCATTTGTGGTAGAAGGACAGTTTGTATATTTGAGATTTGTCTTCCAATGTTTTTCAATTGTTTTTTGTCGAAGAGGAACATCTGTGCCTGTAGGCATGTAAAATTAAACCGTGCTGCCTGGACGGGTTACAAAACATACAGTAAAAAGACACTAATAATGTTCATAGTCTTTGAAAAGAAAGAGTGCTTTTGAACAGTATGATATCCTTTCAAACAGAGCTCCACAGGATGTGACAAAACAAGAAATCATCAATTAGTACAGACAATAAATAAATATGTCAAATGAGAGAATTCTGCTAATCTATTCCAAAAATACAATGATAATTACTATAATTGATAGCAGCATTGATTTACGGTTACTTTCAACAACACAAACATTATGTTTTGTCAATAATATTATTTTAAGTTGTAGTTGTATGCTGAGTTTCTACATCCAGCATTTTTACTAAAGCCAAGCCATATTTTGAGAAAATCTGACTAATAATATGTAGTCTCTAAAAGTTGTATAGAGTATTGTAAACATATACCAGAGGGCATATCACAACTTTTAGTGCATTGGTAAATTAATGTTTGCACCATGTTTGTGTGAATAGCTATATATTAGAAATTTATAAAGAGCTAACCCCACAGAGCAAGAGTACTGTCAAGTAAACATTTTTGCATTGGCCCTTTAATGCAGTCCCCCAAAAACTGATAGTAGTGTGTAATATTAATCTGGCAATCTCATTCAGAAATAAATCTGCAAAACAACTGCTTTAATAGATTAATTAAACAAATTACTGTTATTCATTCACATGCCGCTTTCTTCATTTGGCTCTCCATTTTTTACCAATTGTGTTCGCATTTCAGTTTCTTCTGGACTTTTAGGTGCCTCAGACCCCCTGCAAAAGATTTGACCTCAGATTTTAATGGAAACACACACAAAATAAAATGACAAAATGCTTGAAAAAACTATGACAACTTTAATGCATGCTTACTTCTTTTTGTCACATAGGAGGAGAAAGTTAGCAAGACTCCACTACAAGAAAGGTGGATAAAGTCCTATCAGCCTATATTTTACACAAAGCGAGTTATAAATAGTGATTCTAAAATCAATTTAATACATAAAGACTGGCCAATGCTATACAAATCAAACAATGATAATGTGGGTTGGCATCTGTCTTTAACAAAGGGTTCTTCTAGTACAATACAAGTACAATAATGAAGTGACCTATAATTATCACGGACAACTCACTGAAAGGCATCCATTATCATAAATAAAAGGTTATAGTCACAAGGTTTTTTAAATGAAGAAACAAAGGTAACTAGGGAATGTTATTTGACCAGAGAAAAATTGGTATGACATTTGACAGAACTTGAAGGTGCAGGTTATGGGATTGGCAATCTACAGACTTTAAGGCGAACTGACAGGTTTTTCTTCATAATAAATTCATGTTAGCTTAATTCAATTACTACAAACATTTTATACCCATCAATAGCTCTTTCTTCAAAGGTATTCTTTGACATGGCTGAAATATCCTTTGTTCATAGATAAACTTATCAAGCGATTATAATTCTATAGAGCAAGAATTAAAGTAAATGAAATTGGTTTGTGTGACCTGGAGAATGCTGATTTAACTAGATCAATGCTGACACTTAAAGACCAAAGGAAACAACATTACAAATCCAATTATCTGTCTATAGACAATTCTCGATGCAAGAGAGATTGTGACATAGCACCAGAATAGCTGCATCCTTGGATGCTAGGTAGAAACAAATACAGAAGAAAAAAAATTTCATGGGACAATTGATTTAAAAATTTGAAGCAATGAGGGTACTTGAAAAAGCTACTTAAACTTTATATTTTATGACCATATAATCCTATTCTCCAATTTGGGTTATCAAGTTATATATAAACTATTATTTTTTCTCATAGTCATCACAGCCTAGGCATTAAGGCTGTTTAATCACAGAAATATATTGAAAAGAAATATAAGTATTTATTGAATTGCCAAAAAAAAACTCAAGAGAATTTTAGACTTCTTTCATTGATGTTGCTATACTCTTATCAAGAAATATTCTATTTCTGAAAGGGTCCACTTATAAACAGACTTGTATTATATGCACAGATTTGAAGGAGCATGCCTTTAGAACTTTTTTTGGTGATTTAACATGACAAAGCTCTTACTTTTTTCCAATTGCTAAAACACCATAAAGTGCAGCTGTGACCAATACTGCTGCACCTCCAATGAATGTTGATAATTCTGGACACAAGAAGAAAGGAGGCAGGGCAAATCTAAAAAGTTGTTTAAAAATGTTTTGAATCTGTACTGGAAGATACATGTAACAAATTTCTTAAAGAAACTACAGTCAGCTTTTTACAAGAAAATTATCATTTCTGTTCAGCTTGCATCAAATATTAACTCTACCATTGCTGCTTTACATTTTTAAATAAAATTACTTGCTTTGAAGACATTTATTGGTAGAGCATTCCAAGAGTGTTTTCTTCAATGGTAACCTTTAACAAAAAAGGTACAAGACAAGTTCCTAAAAAGGGGTGCCAACATTATCAAGAAATTATTCCAACAAGAGTATGGATCAATAACTCAATTAAATTGGGATGATAAATTCTAATGAATTCCAATTTAAAAAACAAATTTTTCAGAATAAATACTTTTTGGAAATGGCATGAAAAACAGGAGGCTATTGATCAAATCTTGGCAGAAAGGCATCTAGGCAGGACCTGTAACATATACATACATAAGGTATAGAGCAGCTCTCATCCAAAATTTCAAATGATTTTCAAACCAGTCACTTGCAGACACAAGTGTTGGAAAATTGGCACAAAGAATTGGTGCTTCTAATGGTAAGATTATGAGTCCAACAACCCTAGAAAGCAAACATAGTTGTCTACATTCAAGACTACATTTCTCATATCAATGATTACAGACTATCTTCTCCATAATACTATGCCTTTTATCATAACTGCTTTAGGGAAAAAATCCAATTGTTCTACACTTTATAATTCTCAGAAAGGTAAAAGTGTATATGCTATAAGATGGACACTCTCTTCTATAGTTTCTCTGAAGATAATAGTCAATTCATTAATTTTTCAATTTTTTTTCAAAACATTATAATTGTCAAAATGATTTGAGATAAAAGAAATACAGTGCTTGCATCTTTTATCCACATATTCAGGTGTAAAAGCTATCAGTATATTTTATTGCCACTTTTAATGGTCAAAAAATTCAGAGATATTGATAAAATTTAGAGACGTAAGAACTTTGCCCCTTTGGAAATGCCTAAAAATATTGAATAAAATTACAAATTTATGTCAAATATGGAATTAAATTAATGATTAAAAAAGAGCATTTCCTGAGAACTTCTGCTTTGAAACAAATAAAAATATATTTGGTCATGATTCATTCAATACTGATAACTAAACCTAAAAGATTCATGGGAAAATGGGAATTAGAAATGATCACTATGTTGATAAGTTTAAAAATATCTTGTGTAATGAATTACAGTTGCAAAATTCCAGTGACGAGGCAAGTTGCAGACAATGTTATCATAACAAACAACCCAGTGATTCCAATACCTGAAAGATAAATTTAAACAAGTGATGCAATTTGAACATGATAGAATTGAAAAACATGAAACATTTTTTTTGCCATTTACAAAATTATATAAAAAAACATAAAATTATTGACACAACAGTTTCACTAACAAATAACAGCTGAAAGCAAGCAAAAATAGATGAATCTGGAAAAAATAAATAATTGAACAAGAAGTCATAATATTGGAAATTAACCAGTACTTGTATTATACCTACATGGATAGCAAGTTTAGAAGAAGAGTCAAAACAAACCCAGCTGTTGACATCATTTTGGTTTCATTTTAATGTTTATGCAGATACTACTCATGGAATAGGAAATTACATTCATATCACTCACATAGAGCGGACAATGTCCCCCAGACCCTAATTAATACGCGGATTCCTTTTGGTGCTCGCTCTTTCTTGGGAGAATTATCTGCCATGATCGTTTCAGTCTCCTCAGTTCAGAAAAGACAAGTTCAAAAAGTCTTTCTTTCAAGTTCATAAAATTCAGTTAAATTTTAACTGAGGGCACAGAAATTGCATCACACCACTAAAAAATATATCTCCTGTAGCAGGTTCCTCAGTAGCACATTACCATCCATTGACAGCTCTTGAAATTGTAGAACTACATTCAATATCAAGTGCTAGTTTAAACAGCAGTCTTTGGTTTTCGAAAATTGAAACGTGATCTTTAATTGCTCTTGATGAAATCGTGGCACCGGATGTTCAATTATTCAAAGATGGACATACAACACAATCAACAAAGATATTCGACACCTGCTTCTGTTTTCGTCTTTTGTTGACGTATATACTGTATGTCATTTACAAGTAGCCTCTTTTGTCGCAGATTTTGTTTGCAAAAACTGAAGACGAGATAAAACCAAAATGGCTGTCGTAAGAAGCTCCTGGAAAAGTTGTTGATTTGCAGCACTGTGCAACAGGTTTGATTTTTTAATGGTTTCTTACTATCTTATTTTCGCGAAACACTACAGACTGTCTTTAGCTTCATTAAGGCTGAAATACATTATGCATTCAAATTGATTCAATTAAATGGATAGCTGGAAAATGTGTAAGCCGTCGTTTAAGACTGAACACTCGAGGGAAGGAACAGGCTGAACACCCCATGAACACCCCAAGAACACCCTAAGAACAAGCTATTGAGCGGCTGAACACCCTTTAAAACATTTAAAAATCGGTATATCATTCGAAAAATAATTTGGTCAATCAATCAAAATTAATTTTGGGGCGGGAAAGGGCCTGATAAGTCTAAGGCTGTTGATGTTGTTACAACCAACTGTTGTTTCGCGCGCCAAATGTGTGAACAGGGGTTTGTAAATTGTTGTGTGGCTAAAGCCCCTATATCCCGTCCAGGGGCGGATACAGAATGAAAGTTGACGGTCGCACATTAACACTGCCCAGCAGGCGGTCTAGGGGGGCCTCCCTCATGGTCAAGGGCGGAGCCATGATGGGGGTCCAGCCCCAGCCCCAGCCCCCCCAGAACCAGAGCAATTAGGACTGGGGGCCCTGAAACGTTTAAATTGTTCAGTCAAACATTTTTCCCTTTAAAAGGTTTTTAAAATGCAGTTTAAACAAAATATATTGTACAACCTCATCCACCTTTTTCCCTTGCCAGCAGTTGTGCGGCACAGTAATCTAACATAGTGTTTACAGACTTTTCGTGCCACACAAATATGTGAAAACTTGAGTTTTGATTGGTGAGATTTGGTAAAATATTTGCATAACAAAGAGCCCTGCATATTTGTGCGGCACAGGCGACATGCTTAAAAATCATACTGTTTACGGTCTAAAGTGGTCTTGAAATCCTTTCTATATTGAATTAAATCGTAGCATTGTGTGTGAGATCAACCAAGTTCGGTCCTGTGTTTATTGTGTAAAGAGAGCAAATTGTATTATCTGTAAGGAGGAAAATAAAAGGTTGTGCTTTAACCGAAAACTTTGGGCTCGCCCCAAAACCCATGCAGTTTCTGCCACATATATAGTTCAAGTAAGATTATATGGTCCCATTCGAGCATGGGCCCCAAAATTTGCCCCTCCTACTCTTTTAAGTCTCATGATGTGGCCCTGCCGCTACCCTCTAGCACGTCCTACACTGTGCATTTTCTGTTTCATTTGTCAAAAATTCCTTATAAAAATCCTATCCAGGAATTGGGCCTGCGAGTGCACCAGCTGGAGACGTCACTGCCTGGAGAATAACAATACAACAAGAGAGGAGGTGTGTGTCTAGTTGCACTAGTAAACTAGCTAGCGTGCACTAGCATACCATGCCCACATGATAGTTAATTTCTATTCTATGCTGTGACTATTTGGGCAAATTTGCGGATTAGAAGAACAATTGTTTGGAGGAAAATAGGTAGTCAAGTATTTTTACATTGTCACTGGATGTGAAAGATTTGAAAACAATGGGAAATTGCTTGAATGCACAAATAGAGTCAAACTCTAATTTGCTCTGCGTGTATAAACCCCCATTCACACTTTTGGAGCTCAAAACATCAGTTGGTTGTAACAACACCAACAGCATTAGACTTATCAGGCCCTTTCCTGCCCCAAAATTAATTGTGATTGATTTACCAAATTATTTTTTGAATGATATGCCGATTTTGATATGTTTTAAAGGGTGTTCAGCTGCTTAATAGCTTGTTCTTAGGGTGTTCTTGGGGTGTTCTTGGAGGGTGTTCAGCCTGTTCTTAGAGTGTTCAGTCTTTTAGAATCGCTGCAGTGTAAGCGCAAAATTGGATGTCAAAATAGCTGTTTTGCCAAAGTGAAACTTCCCTTTAAAAAGTTGGATGAATTCAACTTTTGTCCAACTTTTTCCTCTTGTATTCTTTAATCCCCCTTCGAACCCATTGTCTTTAATGACGTGCACTGCACTTCAGGGACTTCACTCTACCAGCCAGGTTATTTTTCTGACAGCTAAGGATATAAGCATTTGTCTCCTGAATGGGAGAAATTCCAGTAGCAGCACCACGGGGGACTGGGGGGGACATGTCCCCCCCCCCCAGTTCTCAGCAGGATCAATTTTGTACACAACAATGACTATTTTATGATCAAAAAGACTTTTTTGTTTTTTTTGACCACATGTTTGAATTCTGCATGTCAAAAACGGTAGTTTATCAAAAAAATATGTTGGGAATTGTGAGTAATTGGAGAGTTTAATTTTTGATGACGTCATTCGTCAGATGTAGTTATTGTCCATGCCCTCTCTTTGGTGGCAGTACCACTACATCAGAGAAAACTATTAATTTTACTATGTAATGCAATAGGTTTATTTGTATATGTGTGCATGTAGAATATACTTAAATGTGAATTACAAAGTTATTAAAACTTGCTTTCAGTTTTGTTCACAAAATCAAGGTCATGATACTAACTGAAAAAAATGAACAATTGAGAAAGCTCTAGCAAAAAATAGGTAATAAAACAGAAAAGTTGCAGTATTAACTATCTTTCACCTTGCTTTTGTTGAGGAGCAATTAATTCTTGAAGAAATCTTTAGAATAATCATACATAGAATTAAACTGAATAACAATAAGTCAGAATTTACATACAATGTATTTACAATAACTATAAATATATGGTGAATATAAAGTTTATGATGAAATTATGCTAGAAAATAAGTTATATGAAATAAGCTTTTATTATATAATATACAATGTAGCTGCTTGTAAAATGAAAGTTGTTTTGCTGAGGGTCTGCCTTTATAGTCAACCTAATCCTAGAGTCCAAAATGGATCGAAAAGCTGGTGACACGGTGATGATTTAGGGAGGGGGTGTCGAAAATTCATATATTTTAGGTGCTGTCATTTTTTAGGGAGACTCCTGAAAAGATCTCTAAAGTAAAGTAAAACATTAGATTTCCAGAATATAGACTTTACCTGAACCTTTTCTTTCCTAGAACAATACCTATAACAATAGAGTATGACATCATGAAAACTTCAATTGCAAATTCTGATCGATTTTCAACTGTAACCTACCATTTTTTCATGGAAATATATGTATTTGACAGTATAGATTTAAAAAATGTTGTTTGAAAATTCTGCCAGAAAATCCTTCATGCATTTTTGTGCAAAAAGTTATACACTTCCCAATCGGGAAAGTAAGTATGATTTCTTCTCCCAATCAGGAGACATTTTATTGAAACTTCTTCCAAACTCCCAATCCGGAGAAACATTGTTTATTTCTCTTGATCAGGGGATAAATGCTCATATCCTTAGTAGCTGTCTGATCACGCTGCTTTCTGAAATTTTATAAAGGGCTACAAAGAGTCAAAGAATTAAAAAAGACAAAGAGTTTATAAGTTTATGGAGAAAGGAAAGCTGTTTTTGGGACACAAGGTGGCCTCTGTATCGCAATAGCGGTGCAAAATTAGCGAGCCTTGCTGATCATTTGATAATTGCTGGTATTGCCTCTGGCAGCCTTGTGTTGATTTTTTAGTATCAAATTCAACAAGTTGCAAAAGCTCATCAATATTTTTGCAAAAAATTTTCAAGAACCTTTGGTATTCACCACCTTCTTCCAGGTGAAATTCTTGCGTGTTATCAACTCCTAGCCCATTTCTTTGGGCTTAACCCAGACGGATCTTTGTTGCCTATTTAATTTTTTGCACATACGTTTTTTATTTTTATAAACAATTTCAATAACAGCGTTGGTGGGTGTTCAAAAATATGGAATGCATTGTTGGTGGGTGTTAAACTCAAACTCAAAATCTTCTTCAGCAAGCAAACAGAGTAATTACAATGTATGTTGATTTAAAATACAATTTCTAGAAATTTTAAAATTTGAAAAATAAGTAAGATTAGAAAATCAATTGGCTTTTTATTATGCTGAAGGGCACACAAAAAAACTGGCAATGGGATATCAAGTCATGTGCCCTGTTTGATGTACTCAGTAACATCATGTATAGATTTAAGTTTGAATTGAACATAAATGAACAGTAGAGATAATTGATAAGAGAAGGTTAAATATAAAAGTCATAAGAAACCAGTAAAGGGGTAGGTAGTATTTAGAAGTATATATAAGGTTTTAGGTGGTTAAAAGCTTTGTATCAGGTGAATTTTGTATCATCATCCTTTTGAAAGCATTCTTGTTGCAAGTAATTTTAAGTTTGCCTTGTAAGGAATTCCAGAGCTTAACTCCATCAAATGTTAAGAAATATTTTGTGAAGTTTGTAGAAACTTAAAGATGAGAAAAACCAACATTGGACTGCCTTGTATTATACAGATGTAATTTGGAGATAAATTCATTTTGATGAAAAGTACTATAATTATTTTGGCTAATTTTAAACATGAATTTTTCAGTTTCGAGCTTGTAGAGATTATTCAAGTTCAAAATCTTGAAGCATTTGAAAATTGGTTCTGAGTGTGCTGTATAGCAAGCATAGTCTATTACTCTGACAGCTTTTCGTAAGCTTATTTTCAGTGGCTCTAGAGTAGTTTTATTGGCACAGCCCCAGTTGAGAAGACCATAGAGAACATGGGATTGAATAAATGAATTTTGAATAAATGAGTGTGATTTTTATGCAAAACTTCTTAGTTTATAAAGTGTACCAATACTTTTAGATAACTTTATTTTAGTATTTACCAAATTTATGTGTTGCTTCCAGTTAAATTTCTCATCAATTAGTACACCAAAGGTATTTAGAGTAGGCTTCTTGTTTTAAGTTTTCTTTATAGAGTACCTTCTAGAGTAGGATGTGGGCAATATATTGTAAGTCTGCAACAAAGTTTCCAATCTGAAAAGTACAGGCTAGCAAAAAACCAAATATTGAGAAGAGAGGAACAATCAAGAACAATTACAGAAATAGACAGCTAGTTAGGTACAACAATCAATGTCAGTAAGTTGATTAAGAAATTGCAAAAATCTTGAGAATATTTCTTTTCAGCCCAGGACTTACTTTCAGAAGTATTTTAGAAATCATTTTAAAGTACTTGTTATCTGTTTCTTCAAAATTTGTCCATCCTCTTTTTGTGCCAATTTTCTATTACTATATATTGACTGTTTCTTTTGATTTTTGCACAGAATAATCCAAGAATGCTACATACATTTGAAGACAAAGAACCATGTCCAGATTCATTTTTCGAATACAAAAGTGACATCGCTGGCAACCATGTTCCACTAATTATTGACAATGGTAAGAGGCTTTATATGAATTGAGTAATAAACTTTTGCTCTTTCTCTTAGTCATCACAGCCTAGGCATTAAGGCTGTTTTATCACAGAAGTATATTGATAAAGTATCCAGGAAAAGTTAAAGAATCTAAAGCATTAATATTGAATTGCTAAGAAAAGCTAGATAATTTTAGGCTTTTTTCATTGATGTTACCATAAACTTGAGTTTCAACAGGTCTTGGGGCCTGTTTAAATGAGCCAAACTATCCCACTATCCCATCTTCCAGCCTATGGGCTGAGAGGTGAGATCCAGCCTTCCTATACAATGCTTTGTAATTTCCATCTTATTTTTTTATGAGAAATGCTATTTCTGGGGCTTGCCAGATCTCACCTCTTGGGGTAATATTCTCTCATATAAACACAAAACTGACTAGAAGGTAGGATAATTATTTCACCTTTTTAGTTTTAGATTTGGGGGGGGGGGCTTCTCTCAATTAGTTCATCTACTAGAGAGCTCCTCCTTAGACAAATATATTTAAATACATACTGTCTTGTAATGTTCTATGTTTAAGTTCTATGTTGTAATGTTATGTTAATTATTTTTATTCTGTATTCTAATGTATTTAGGTATACTTGTCAATGAAATTGAATTGAATTGAATTGAATTGAATATAGTTGTAACCTATGAGCATGCATTAGCATTCCAAAACAAAGATATGACTTATTGCGTTTAAAAGGACAGTTGAGAGGTGGGATAACAAAGAAGCCATCAGCTGGCAGGTGGGGTAGATTTAACATAATAATATGCGATGATTTCATCTTATCTGCCAGCATATTGGCTGAAGGTTAATATAAATTTGCTCATATAAACAGGCCCTTGGCAAGTTGAATACTAGCTACCCTTGGTACCAAAGGCATATAAATTTGAGTGCAGAAGAGGAAGATAGGACAGTAGAAGTGGAGGAGCTTTTTTTAAGAAGTATCCTTTGCTTCTCCACTTGGTTTTCCATTTCTGCACTTGAAATTTTGTGGCTCTGGTAACCAGGGTAAGTACAAGCATTTTTCAAGAAACCATCTGAATCAATCAATAGGTTGACTATGAAATTAAGAAACCATAGTGATGATCACCCTAAACCCCAAGAAACTGTTTGAATATCCCTCTTTTAAGGATGGGTTGATTTGGCTACTACTATTTCTTGTTCAATTGGCATGGATAATAGAAAGAGGAACTTTTATGACTGAGCATGTGTCTATTTCATGTTTTTCTGTTATGGTTTTGTGAATCTAAAAAGTAGATCTTTAGCAACTTTTGGTAAACAAAAAACAACAAGATGCATGAGGTTTCAAAATCCAGAACAATTACAAGAAACAGTGTACTAGACCTTAGCTTGTTTTGTTTAAAAATATGTTTAGTGTGAATGTTTGCAGAGTAGAAATTATAAATGACCATTATTGTTATGTTGATGATGGCTCTTCAATTCCAATTAGCTCTTCTACTCTAAAATTATTACCTTAATTATCAATTAATAATACCTAAAGGTATTTTAAAGTGCTTTTTCAAGCTTTTATTTTATTCTAAAATATTGAATGATAATACAACTCTGACTTGGGAAAATATGTGTGTTAGAATGGTCTCAGTTTTAGTCATTACCACATGCAGATACCAATCTAGCATTTCTCACAAGTATTCCTTTTCCTATACTGAGGGCAAATGGAGTGTTCTAGCAGTGACAGTTACGATGGATTTATGATAACAATTCAATCGTCTTTTAACTAGGTCCATTCTTTCGCATTGTCATGTGAAGCGGCTGTGCGAATTGAAGCCAACGAAAAGTACAAATGGAAATGGAAACCAACGCCTTATAAGCAGAAAATAACCCTCAATGTATCTCATTTTGTTGTAAACTCTGCCCTCTCTGTAATGCGTACAACGTAGAAATTCTGACATCTCGTAGAATCCTTGGTTCGATGTCCACCTTTCATCAATGGATATCATTGGTCCATTTCAAGGCTTTTTTAATCAATGCTGTTGGACACCTTTTCTGTGGTTGCTGGATATTTTTTATAGTTGCAATGTCTAAAGAGACGCTAACGTTAATGAAATAGAATATAGTTTTTAAATCTCACGGCGAAAACATTACCATTTCACAGTAACAACATCACGGAAATCAATTCAAGATCGCCTCTCTCCTTGTTTCCAGTCTACAAATGCTGTACAGTTAAGCTCTAAACATCTGCTGAACCTATTCAATATTCTTATTATGGATGTTAAGTTTTGCATTTTAAGATTTGATTGACGAAATTGCTCAAACCATCTTTTGGTTTAACGTGAACAATCGTTGAGTTTCATTTTCAATTTATTTGCAGGTAGCTACACCTGTAAAGTTGGGTGGGCTTGTAACAAAAGGCCAAAACTAATTTTCCGAAATCTGATAGCAAAGGCAAGAGTTAAGAAGGTAGGTAGAAATTTTTATTTTTAATTCAGTTTCTAGCATAAACACTATTCAATAAATCTTTTTTAGAAATAACGGTTATTTCAGAAGCTAGAGTTGTGGTTATTGTTAGAATGTACAAAATTGTTTCTGTTTGAAACAGATCTTAACCTTAAAGTACTGAAATCGTTAGAAAGCGTCAACAACAATGAGGCCTCGAAGGATTTGGTTGTAGAATTGTTTCCTTAGTTTCAGATGTTTCCAGACGAAAACATACTAGATAAGCGATTTGATCACTTTTGTTCTGTTGTTCAACTTTTGCTATCACGTGCCATTAAAATGCTACAATCCCAATGCTTACTCCCTCCGTCCAAAGTTATTAAAATGTATGTCTCTAAATTTGAATAGGGGTAGGAGTGACTCTTTTTATTTTGTATTGTTGCTACCTGGCATGTTTCTAGGCAACTGTAATAACACCTGTGTAAGATGTCTTTAGTAAAAAAGGGGATCACTGCCCAATCTTTTTTGCAAGCTAGCATTCATGTCCCTGGTCCCAGCTTTCAGTAAAACCCTACATTTTGCATGTCTGCATTCGTTAATCTCTCCTTCTTTCAAATCCATTGTTTGGATGATTTTTTGCAGGAAGGTGATTTTAATGGTTCGCTTATTGGCAACGATATAAGAAATTTAGAGTCTATGAAATGGAATCTCAGAACCCAGTTTGACAGAGATGTTGTAACACATTTCGAGGCCCAGGTAAATTCTTCCATCAAGTCTTTGACGATAAATTTGTATGAGGCCCTATAACTGGTATTCGAAATAAGAAATAATTGAGATTTTTGGAATGAAAATATGAAATATGAAATAACTTTGGTTCCCAGTATGAAATATGAAATAACAAAATAACTGAATACCTCTTTAAATGTTGTGTGAGAATTATCTCTTTGATAACAGCATTGACTCAAATGACTATTGATCTGTAGAGCTGTGAAGATACCATATTACGCTTGGGTTTTTCTTTGAAATATTTCAACCTTTTCAAGGGTTTAAAACGCTTCTCATACTTCACGTTTAGGAAAAATACCAACATCAAATAACGTCATAAAAACTTGTTTATCTACATTGATTGTTCCACACATGCATGCTATGAATTCTTTCTAAGACCACTAAACCATAGTTTTGTGAAACACAATATTGATTTGCTGATAGTAATATTCAAAAATATATAGTTCATTCTTCAATTTTTTTACCTGGGGCTAACATGTTTCCCGCAAAGTTATTCTTATCTTGAAAATGTTGTTTCTGGCCATATCTTCGAATTCAGTATGGTGCCAATAAACAATGCTAAAAGTGATTAAAAGTTACGTTTTTTGACACAAAACGAAATAACTATATTAGAGCAAACTATAAGGAATTATTATCAAAAGCCACGAACACGCAACCGTAAAGAGAATTTGGCCCACTCCAACTGTTTTTTCAAACTCGGTGAAAGTTTAAATCATAAAATTAAAGGCCGCTGATCATTTTAAGCCTTGGAAACATTCTGGTAATTGACTGGAAGTCGCGTTTCTGGAAGCATGAAAAATGCACGGTCAGAAAAATTTCGACTTTCGAATTTTTCAAATCTAATTATACCATCATAAAGAGCTTGTAACGTGAACGTGACTTCCCGTTATCTGCCAGATTGTTTCTAAGGCTTAAGATGATCAGTGGCCTTTACTCTTCTTATTTAAACTTCAAATTTTCGGTTAGGCTGGTTGCTAGCAGTTATGCAAAATTCCCAGTCAATCTGTAGTATTTATTTTGATTTCTTCTTGAGAACATCGTAAGAGTTGATTTCACTTTGTTTTAGCTTCGCATTAACTTTATTTTAACATTATTTCTTGCTATTTAATGCACCTAAGACTGCAAGTGACTGGATGACTATAGTATGAAGAATCGATTAAACAAATGAGTTTTCTGGTCATTAGGGCTCTAAACGGTCAGCAGAGCCAAAGAAGATGTCCCGAAATTCAAAATTCACAAGTTCTTCTAGCAAAGTGTGTCTCCCGGGCATGTCTGTGGGCCCCTTCTGGTTGTACCCTCCGAGACTTGGAATATTAGTTTTGGTACATATATATTTCGAAAGAATAGGTTGAACAAAATAAAGATAAATATTTCATCCGGTGTCCTTAGATTCCGCACACAAGTACCATATGATCACCACAGTTCCAAAGAGAATGAATTCCCTATTTTTATCAAAGTACGGGGCCCTTTGGCTTTTTCCGAACAAATTCTTTATGCATTTTCAATATTTTTACCTGCAAAGATTGGTTTTGAAGACATGGTCCATTTTGTATGTGAGTCGGTACAACTTTCCGTGACACCTGAAAGCAGAATAGAACATTCGACAATTTCGAAATAATTTGCTTTGTAATTTTGAAATATGAAATAATTGTAAGGTATCATCATGAAATATGAAATATTGTCATGTATAGGGCCTCTTGTATAAGGCTAGATGAATTGATACTAGAATTTGAGAGCTAGGAGGATTTTTAAAATCATTGGCTAAGCAAGGTTGTTGTTTGGTTAAGTGGTTTGGAATCTATGTTCCTTGAAAAAAGAATCTGACTTGTATAGACAGAAAGAGTTCGTTTTCTCTCTTGGGCACTTTAACTAGGTGAGCGGTTAGCGGTCGCTGATTTGAAAAAAATAAGGAACCAATCAAACAGGTCTGTCTTCCTCTCGCGTTCCATTTTATCCTCAGCTTGATTGAAACTTCTGCTTATCGTTTGGTCACTATCCGACGTTTAAACTCTGCGGAGTGTTGGACGATAGTATGTTATGTATCCCTTTATGCCATTTTCAGGTATTTAAGCTTCAAGAAAGATTTAGTCGTATCTCCTAATTGCAGTACAGTGGATAAAAGTGGCAATGGGTTGCTGTAGGTATTTACTTCAAGTGAAGCTCCAATGAATTTAAGAATGAATATTCAACCTAATTAAAATTTATAATCTTATTTTTAGGAGCAAATACTTGATTACACATTTTCCCATCTTGGGATAGATACAGAGGGCTATGTAGATCACCCTGTTGTGATGATGGAGGCATTATGCATTCCTAACTCTTTCCGGCAAGGTAACGTTTTTTAAACGAGTTATTATAACTACTGTAAAGCATCATTTCAGTCATTCTTTTAAAATGTTTAAGGTTTGTAATGGGTATCTTTAGAACCTTGAATTAAGAATCAATTCCTGCTTTGAATTTTAAACATTATTACCACTGCTACGAATTATCATAAAACCAAATCAACACATTATCATTTTCAAGTTTGTTATAAAAATAAGTTTATTTGTGTCAATATATCTTTAATAGACGTATACTTGAGGAGGGTTGAATTTTAATGGGTGTAGTCTTCGACAAATATTTTAGGTGGGATAATGCCCGTTTTATATTGCAGTAATATCCGCCTTTATCATGTTTTTTGTGCAACGCCCCGCTATATTCGTATTAGGAAATATAAAAAATTATGGTCTACCTCTACCTGTTTCAATTTTATCAATTCAGTAAAAATTGGATTGAGCACTTTTTATAATAATGACAGGGTAATCACAACCCCCAAGTCCCCCACCTTGGTGCTGCTACGGATATATATGTGAAATTTCCAAATTTTTTGAAATTTTCTACCTTTGAATGTTTAGGAATGTCGGAACTCCTCTTCGAGTGCTACGGAATTCCTCAAGTTGTTTATGGAGTGGACAGTTTATTCAGCTTCAATTATAACATGAAAGATACTGATACCGCATTGGTGATATCGTCGGGATTTTCCGCTTCTCATGTTATTCCGATCTTCAATGGGCGTGCCAGTATACAAAACTGTAGAAGGTATATCTCTATCATTTTTGCATCTGATTTCTATGTAGCTTTTAATTTAAATGGTTATTAAAACTTACATACCCTAGAAAAGTAAGCGTAGTGCAACTGTCTTATTTGTCGTGTTGTCTAAAGACACGCGGGATAGGCCTTTGCATCAGTTTCATCATTTCCAAGATGGAAGTCAGCTTTCTTAAACAACTCAACCACATATAGTACGCTAACTTTATGATTATAGAGTAATGGCCGGGTTCTTTGAATGTTATCAACTATTTCTATAAATGCAAGCAAAACAGGCTGAACTCAAACATTTGGATAAAGCAACGTAATCCCAGCCCAACGTGGTCCCAGCCTTAACAGTAGGGACTAAAATCAACACTGTGACAGTAGAAGCTCTATCCGTTCTTCTTTTGAGCTCAATGGATTCTACTCCTTTACTCAATTCATTAATTTGTTTTCTATTCAATTTAATCTATTTTAACATTTAATACTTGCTATAGCTTAAGAACTTGTTTTGAATGATAAAGAATCAGATTTTTATATTTAGCTTAAAGTTGTCTTTCAAATTTAATGTTATCTATGTCAAAAACAAAAGAGGATTTTTAAGAAATAACACAGGATGGACATATGTAATGCCAGCCAGTTAAAACTGCTTCACAAATTTGCAGCCAGTTTTATTGCTTTTGGCAACGACCCACCCCCTCCACCAGAAAGCAACTTTCTAATTTTGATTTAGTTTTATTCTATTTGATCGAATATCTAACTAATTTATAAGGTATTTAAGATACATGGATCAGCTGCTAACTACAATTATCCCGGCTTTAAGTAGGTCCGTCATATCGCTACCAAGGTTCTTAAACTTTCGTTTTTGTATTGTATGTTTAGATGACCAAATTCTTCTTTTTTAATTAGAATTAATGTTGGAGGTATGAACGGAAATATTTTCATGCAAAGATTAATGCAACTGAAACATCCAGGGCTGTCTGCAGCTGTCAGCATTTCCAGGGCTCAGGTAATCTCTTTAATTGTCTTCTTATTTTGTGCAAGAACTACCCTTCGTGGGAACGCTTTTCAGTACACTAATATTCAGACAAAGCAGAACGATATATCAAGAAAAAACATCGCGCTTTTTCAACAGTTCTTTCCCCGGCTAATTCTCTCGAGCAACGTTGCATGGAAAATCCGGTCGTGAATCGAGCAGTTGGGTTATTACAATTTGCAGTTTAGAAATTTGTGCAAACATTGTATTTGTTATGTTTTCGCACAAAAAACATTTTATTGAAAGCTGCCATTAATATTGATGATGTCTTATAACTGTGCCTCATGTGAAAATTACACGTGTTTTTCTTGCCGCTGTTAATTAAAACCCAAACTTCTTCTTATCATTACGCCTGTTTTGAAAGAGGGAATTAACGGACAAGATTGTGAGAATCCAGGTCATATCCTTCCACCATCTCTGCGAAATATTTTCTCTCTTGGTCCCTTATTCAAACACTCCCTTCTATCTCAAGTAAACCAAAATACTTATTCTCATTATTTTTTCGCTCTTTTGGCAATTTGAATAACAAACATTTCATTTTTGAATACTGAAGACGATATTTTGTTTAAATATTGTTCAGCAGAAAAGAATTTGGAAATTCTTTTGTGAAAACTATGTTATTTTGCCATCATTATATATTTTATATCCTCATGTCCAGGAGCTTATAAAGAAGTACACTTATGTAGCTCCTCATTATGATGAAGAGTTAACAAAATGGAAAGATGAAGATTTTGCAAAAGATAATAGAAGGACTATACAATTACCCTACGCGAAGCCAGAACCTATTGTTCCGAAGGACCCTGAAAAGGAAAGGGAAAAGCGAATAAAGCAAGGTCGGCGTTTGCAGGAGCTGAATGCAAGAAAACGCGAGGAAAAGGTATTTTTTAACTATTTGTACAGTATTTTACTACGAGCCGGCTTAAGAATGATGCTGAAAGCCAAGGCTACCAGTGTTATGAAGGTCTAAGAACTTGTGGTCTTTCGAGCTGGATACTCCATGTTTCAGCAAGAATCTTATTGTATAACAAAACCCAAGGCTCCGCCTGGTCATTTTTCCAAGCTTTTTAAATTAGAATTTCGTTATTATATGAAAACGTTAGTATATGAGCATCATGAAATACCTCTAATGTGTTACGAGTTGGCTGAGATATGGCTACATGTGTATTGGTTCTTTGCAAATCAAACCTCTGCCTTTTGGTCTCTGTTCATTACTTTATGAAGAGAGCGAAAGTAACAGGGATTCATTAGCAAACTTCAAACCTTTCATTGGCAATATCTTAACTGATTTTGGACATATTTGACTAATTTCGCATATTTGAAAGTATTTCATGGTGATCTTTTATGTTATGTGGTTAAAATTCAAAATTTTAAAAATAGTTTTTTAGTGACGTCACACTTTAGAACTCTATAAGAACCTCCCGTATTTATCTACATCAGTTTATACTAAATCTTATTCAAATATTTCACAGAACTTTTAAACAGTTATCCGCTCCTGGTAGCCAATGAGCAATTTTATCAAAATAAGCTGTTTTTCGAGCTTGAACAAGGCTCTAATCAATTCAATTTCGATACTTGCCCCAATAACATATGCAAACAGACAGCATTGAATTTTGAGGTCCGGATATTCCAGGATTTAGAATTTGTTTTCACTATAGAAACAGCTGTGTTTTTTGTGATCCCATGGTAACAGTTATATGTTCAGCCAGACTGTCTTTCCTCGCAGTGATCTCTAAGTGTATTTTAGGGAGAGCCTGTATTGAAAAATAACACGACAAGGTTGAAATTAAAATTTCTTGCAATGTTTTCCCGAAGACGCGTTAAATATTTTGGTTGAAATAATCCAAATATTAGCTAAAAACGCTGGTAGACCCATTCATTTGCAAATCAAATGCCAGCTTTTGGTTCCAAAAGCAGAATATGATAAATCACGAGTACCTTGTTCTCCATTCTACATCAAGTTTAAAAGAATTATTTCTTAGCTACCACTTTAACCGAGAAGTCTATTTATGATAAAACGTAAATCTAGCAAAGGATAATAATAGTTGTAGCGTGTCTTTTTCTTGGGGAACCTTGATTTAGGCATTATTTAATCTGTGCTGTAATTGCCACTCGTATTCTTTAAACTGTGTTTTAAATAGACGTTCGTATTCCTTTTATTGGTAGTTGATATATTTGTTTTGGTTTATTGTAAATAGTTGGTGTAAATTGATTTTTTCAAGAACTATGAAATTACCTAAAGAAATTAAATTGATGATGATGATGATGATGATGATGACGATGACGATGATGATGATGATGATGATGATGATTATGATGATGATGATGATGATGATGATGATTATGATGATGATGATGATTATGATGATGATTATGATGATTATGATGATGATGATGATGATGATAATTACTAGCGCTGTCATTATTGTATACCTCTTTCCAGCTTGCACAAGACGAAGCGAGGTTCAATGTACTGCGTCAGCTATTACCTCTTCAGAAAATCAACCAAAACCTCTTTGCTGTAAGTTAGCTTCAAAGGCCTTTAGTGGCATTTTCTGCACGGAAGTTATTCTATTCATTTTATTAATTGTCAGCCCGCTAACCAGCCCATTATGTTAAAGGAAAGGCTGGTTATCAGGCTATTCAATTGTCTTTGCTATTTCTTACGAACAGTTAAAAATCTTTTACTGGTTAAGCGAAAGCGAATGAGAATCGCGAATGAATTACGCGAAAGCGAATGAGAATCTGACTGGTAAAGTTTGGCGCACCTAACTAAATTTGATCAGCATGATCGTCAGAGTTCAGAAAAATGGCGGTCGTACGCCTGACATACTCGATGAAGGTCAACGTGAACAAGGATATATTCAACTGCCTTAAACAGGCTATATCTAGTATGCGGTGCTCATAGAAAGGTTTTGGAAGTGTGATCATTGGCAATAGTGCTTTAAAGCGAAAAAACAGATTAATGGTGTATATCTGGCAGCTCAGACTGATTATCGCTCCGGTATGCCAGCTAAGCAAGTTGTTTTCATGTCTGAGGTCTCCGTTAATGATGTTATGATATTCTTTGTGCTTTCCATTTTTAGACAGCTAAAACTCCTTTTGGTAGACAGGTATAAAATCTACTTTTTAAAGTTTTGTATAAGAGAGCAAGGAATCAGCAGAACTATTTTCCGTTTGTGTCGCTAATACCGCTGATTTCGCCATTGCTTATAGTAAATGTCAAAATCTCTTATTCTATTCTTTTCTATTCTTTATTTCACATCTCGTGTCATTTTATAAGATTCTACCGTTTTGTTTTGTGACTAGGAACGATTAAAGGAAGCAGGAATCGACTCAAATGAGGTATGTTTTATTCTTGAATATGCCAATAATTATTTTTAGTCATTCATTTAACTTGTTTTGATACTTATACGTGCTTATTTATACCTTATGAAGACAAGGCACTCTCGTGACATTGCTCGGGTCAAAAAGTTTCCTCTCGCAAATAGAGGAGATTCTCGGTAAAAAATCTCCTCTTGAAACTAGTAAAGAAGCTTTATTCTTATATCTCATTGGAACCCGAGTGCAAGCAATAGCACCATGCCTTTCAGTTTCATTGTAAATGACAGTATTAAAGTATAATCTGCAAAAAGTGAAGCTTCAAATTTCCCTTAAATGCACAATACAGTTTAGTTATTTGTAAGCAACTTATTTTTAGTTGCGTTCAATGGCAGGTTTCTTTTTAATAGCATACGGTCAGTCATAATCTGCGTAATGAGTGTGCTTTGTGCTTTAAACCTGCTGATATATCTTGCTTAATGCTCTCTATCACTGAACCAGTCACTGCCTATTACCAGTATGCAGCTGCCTATTGCCAGTATGCAGTTTTATAGTATTTTTATAGTTTTTATAGTACGTCCTTTATTAGTCTGTCCTATATATTGTTTAGTCTGTTTACTTCTATCAAGTAAACCTTGTTTGTACTACGATATTCTATTGAATTAAAGTAACTATCATGAAGTACTTTATGAACAATTTTTTTGCGGTACAGAATTTGAAAATGGCTTTGAAAAAAGCAAACAATTTTACGACATGCTAAAAGCTTTTTTGTCTGACACTCCTCAGAGCATAAAACGTCAGAATAAGGTTCCGAAAGAATACGATGGAAAATATATACCCAGTATTTTATCTATTACTTTATCTATCACTTGAAAAATATATTACATTCTGCACTGTTATAGGTTTATCTCTACCTGATGGGGTGTTTGATTTTTTTCTTTGCATTATTGTGTTCTTAGGAACTTTTTCAAGAGGTTGACGAACTGAGGTCCTCAATTCTTGCCAGAAGACAGAAGATGATGAATCAAAGTTTAGAGGAGGTATAGCCTAATGCTTTTAGATTTTAATAAAGTCTTTTGATATGGGGAAATCAAATTTTGGAAGGGTATAGCTGAAAATTCAAAGTTACAAGTAAATCTTATGATATGACACAAGAAATTCAAAATTTGAAAGGACAAAGCTAGAAGTTTGGGATTTTACAAAAGTATGCCATTTAACATACTAGAGAAACTGAACCAAAATTTGAACATTTCTGTTATTAGAAGAACCGAAGAGGGACACTTAAATTTCAATGTACAATGCTTTTTTGCGCTTCAACTGATCACTAAATAATCTAATCTTGTCTTTAAAACTATTAAACATTTTCAAAATTGCACGGAATAACTGAAACATCGATTTTTATAGTACTCTGTGCTTCTACATTTTCATCTTTTTTGAAAAGTTCTCTGCTCAAGAGGCTTACTTTCATCTATTTTTTTATTTCTGAAATGTTTGTCGTTATGAAACTGTTACATTAGCACTGTATATAAGGATTGATTCATCCGGCTATATAAGGATCAATTTTTGAAATTTGCAAAACATATAACCAAGGGTGAATTTTGTTTTATATCGCTTATGCTTTTTCTGTATTGTTACTACACACCTTTACCAGAAATTACCTATTGGTAGGTATCTCTACCTATTGACGCCTTTTAAATGTTTTAGAACTCAAGAACACTCAACAGGCTCAGCATTCATGTAACAAAGCAAATTCTACCTAAAATCAGCAGCAGGCATACGCAGTTCGTTATTCAAATGACATTGCTATAAACTACGACGTGCAAGATGTTTGACTTTCTTGTATAATTTTGTTTTCTTTAATAATCAGCCATCGGCAAAGAAGTACAAAGGGGAAGAGAAAAACCCAACGGAAGGTATGACTGAGGAGGAAATTGAAGGACTGGTGGAAGAGCTAAGAAGAGAGCGCATGGCAAGTTACTGTTTTTGAAATGTGTTAAGCTTTTGTTTATTTGATTGTAGTTTTGCGTTGCGGTCATATATTGAAGGATATTTAATCATATATATTCATATTCAAATGTAGTATGGGAACTTGATTCGCAATTTCAGATGCAAAGCTTATTAACAATTGAACCGAACTGATCAGCCTCTCAACAGAGGGTTGCCTTATCTTGTTTCTTACTTTGCTCAGACCAGCTCTCACAGGGACTGTGCTTTTAAACGCCAGCCCATAGAGAAAGAAATTCGTTTTGCGTTTGATGTATGCATTCTAAAAGATGCATTTTGATGAAATCTCTAATGTTCAGAAGATGCATGTGTTTTCATTATCTCTAGACAAAACAGTCGTGCGATCTAGGAAATTGAAAAGAATAGTTTGTAGAGCATAAAGTAATGTGTAATGTACAAATCATTTTGTGACAGAGGCTCTCAATCTTTTTTTTTAAGTTGATTCATATATTATTCATAAAGTCCCGCTGTTTTATGGGTTCTAATTATTTTAATTCCCAGAGGATACGTTACTTAAGTTGGTTTATTTTTGTCTATTCATTATTAACTCGTTATTAACTTATTAACTTCCAAATGTCTGTAAAATCCGTACACTTTTTCCATGAAGCTGCTTCTTCAACTTCCTTTGTGAGCAGATTCGTGCGTTTCGTCGCTGTAAAAGCACGATTTTTCATCCTCTTGTGATTTCTATATCCATAGTGCTCCCTAATTGGGCCTTGATAATAGAATTTTGTGCAGAAGTACGAATTTATTCTTGCGAAATGTGTTGTTTATCATAGACCTTTCGCAGTCATTCAAATATTGCATAGATATGGCCAGGGTCATCGTTAAAAGGAAGGAAGTAGGGTGGAGGTGTCACGTGTCCTGGAACAAGAGCTTTGACAAGTCACTGCTGTCTTCGGCAAATCTCCGCTTCACCGAGAACCTTATTCTAAGGCCATCGCTACGTTAACTGGCCACCCCTCTTGTCTGCAAATTTTTCAATCTACATCGATCCCAGGTCCCCCTTTCCCTCGCTCCTAACGAGTTTCGATCAAAATCATCCTTAGTTTGGTATGTCGACAAATTCCTACTTTATATTCAATTTTACGCCAAAAAGCCTACAGGTTATAAATTAGATAATATACTCAATCATCATTATTGTTTATTTTTTACTGAACGTTTAACAGGCAAAGATAGCTCATTTAAAACTATTAAAGACCTACTGACCCCAATTGTGAATTCCTAGATGTGTTTTGTGATTATGCTAGTGTTTGGTGTTGTTTTTGTCCTTTTTTATAGATTGGTTACCGGTGCACTGATGGATTTCTGTTATGCCTTTCTCAATTTAGGAAATATTGGATAAAAGAAAACTCCGAGAACAACGAAAGCAAGAATTGTCAAACAGAAAGAGTCATGCTGCGAAGGAAAGAATGCGGATACTCACGAAATTGGCGGATGCTGGAAAAAGTTAGTTTGTTTTTGTGTTTGGTATCAATACGCACAACATAGGACTTATAGCTCGTCTTGTCCAGTGCAAAGGTTTCGTAATCTGGTATGCTTTTCTGGGCTCTACAGATTATAATAATTCGAAAATTCAAGCTCTTGCTATGTAAAGCAAAACGTTTTGAGATATTGATGAATGAGAAAACCTGATACTGAAGTCATTTACCCGGCCTGAAACAACAGAATCTTTTAAAGAGCCAAATAGTAGACTTTACTTCATAATATCTTACCTGAAAAATGCCTTGTATTAAAAAAATGTAATATTTTTTAAAAGATACATCATAATACCCCGTTATTATCAAAGCCAGAAGATACTGTTTATATAACTCAATGCAGAAGTAGCAGATTTTCTTGATACTCTACAACGCTGTCATTTGTTCTAAAACTTGTTCACAAGGATGCTTTCAAGGAAAGTAAAAGTTGTTTTAGTTGTCAGAATTAAGAGTTTTATTGAATCAATACTATAAATTTTATTGAATTCATAGCATGTATACACCATTCGCTAAATAACCACAGCTGCAAATTGCTGCCTCTGTTTATGTACAGAATGCTGTCCTGTAGCTTCTATTATCTTTTCATTTATAGCTTCCAAGAAGCAGAAGTCAGAAGATACTTTTGGCATGAATGACGAAGACTGGGAAGTCTATAAATACATTGTAAATACATTTTTCAGCAATCAAAAGCCTTATTTTCTTGCAAAAAGCTAAACAGGCATATGAATAACTGCCACATGTCAGGTTTCTTTTATTTCTCTAACTTCTGTAACATCACTAAAAAGATATCTTTTTAATAAAAATCTCTCGCTTTATCATCATTATAATTCTTTGGACTGTCTGATTTTTATTCGAAAAGAATGGCTTTGCTGTGATTGTTAACGGCTGGATATAAGAAAAGCAAGAATTTTGCTTGCTAGAATATCGTGGAATTGTCGTGGCTTATAGTTTCTGTAAATATCTCATAATGTCTGCCATGACTTATTTTATTTCGATAACTTCTTGTGTCAAATATTTTCATCACTGAAGTCATTCAGAGAGTCTCTTTGCTGTAAATTAAATATTTCGTCTCTCTGTTGTGGTCAGTTAGCCATCTTTATCAATCTCGTTTCAGAGCAAAGAAGGTGGTGATACTGATGATGAGCAAGAGCAAGAGAGGCTGGATGAAATCGAGATGTTTCTGTCGCAACATGATCTTGAATTCATCAAGTTTGTTATCTTTATTAACCATTTACACTATAATTAGATATTAATGGTAAAAACTAATGGTAAAAAGTAAAACTGAAATATTTTCCTTGCATTCTCAGCCGAGGGTACCTTTTTTCTATTATTTTGCTCTTATTCAATCGTTTCTTCAATTCGCTCAAAACAATTTTCAGTTCTATTCCGTTACCAGGGCATGAAAAAAAGTGTTGCCTTCCTACGACCGGACGAGATTTGTTCTTAAATTTCATGCCAGAATGAGAAAATAATACAAGATAGGGTCAGATTCTAAAAACCCGTAATGTATAGTAACTAAAAGTAGAAGATATATTGATAAAGATTTAAGCAATTTTTCTACCACTCAAAATCATTTTCTGTTTTGTTCACTGAAGTATACTCTTTCTTCATGAATGCCTTAATTGATCTAAAATAGAAGCCTAATTATAATACTAACCTCCTAACTGGTGAGAATATTCAGCACATAAAATTTTACTAGAACGCAAGTGAAAAATCACAAATGCAGATCAAATTGGGATAGCTATTTCTTTGGGTGACGGGGGCAAGTATTGGAAAATATAGAACATTAAAAAATAAGAAAAAATTATAAAAAAATTACGTTCTTGTATCCATGGAAGTTTTTAACAAGCTATTTAATGAAGATGTGTGTCAGAACCCTGAGATTAAGCAATCTGCGAAAAGCAAAAGAGAAAACATATTTTAGTAGAAGTCATAAGTAGAAAAACATATTTCAGATAAATCAGTAGAAGTCAAAGTGATATGCAATATGCAGTAGAGGCCTTTGGCGCATTGCAAGAATTTTTAAGGGTTTTCAAAAATTCTGCAGGTAATAACAAAGATTATAAAGCAAACAGGAATTTTCAAAATTTTGTCAATGGTTCTTATTTAGGAAAGCCATTTTAACATGTACACGGCATGTACATAAGGTAATTTGCTTTTTGTTTTCATGTTTTTCCTTTTAATGGACATAAAAAGACGAAGGTGCTTCTTGCAAAAGGGTTCATTTTATAGATTTCTTGCAGAACTCTGTGCATTAAAGGTTTCGTACGACCTGCAGGTCGCATGGTTGGTTTAGTTTTCATGCCCTGTACGTTACAGTAATCCATGTTCTGTGAATAGATTATGGATTTATCAGCTTTTTCTTCCATCTAACTTGTGTAATCTACCGAAGCTCAACTCTTTTCATTTAGTTTTGGTTCTATTAAGACATGTAGTATGTTTCTCTATACTTCATTCATTAAGAAACAAACATGGTAGACTGTATAATTTTCAACTAACCGTAGATCACGTAAACAAGCCGATGACTCCTCTGTTGATTTGGCAGCCTACTACCAATTACACATGGATGTCGAGCGAATCAGGTAAACTGCATCTATTTCACAGTTTTTTCCAGTGACTCAACTTTTTTCCAAGAATTTGACATTGCAAGTTTTGTGTTAGAAACAAAGTCAAATGTGAAACGAAACTTTGTAGTAGCTTTGTATGCCATATTTATGTTTTTTCAACAAAAGATGTTATTATGGCCTAAAGTTTCATGGGTACTTCGTATTGATAGGTTTAGCAATGATCTCGTTATATTGTGGCTGATATAGCTGTTCTCCACAGTCTATCATCACATGTTTCTAGTAATGCAACCATATTTTCTACTTTGATAATCTTATATAAGGTGCGTTATGTTACAGGGTTCCAGAGATAGTCTTTCAACCTTGCATTATTGGTTTAGAGCAAGCTGGACTTGCTGAAACTATCGAATATGTTTTGAAAAAGTTTTCCGCAGAGATCCAGGACAAATTAGTTCAGGTAAGTTTCGAAACCTGCTAGACCAAAAACTGCTGAAGGCTGAACCGTAATTCTCCTATCATATTCCAGTAAATTTTTTCTTCAACACATTCAATATATGTATTTGTTTACAATTAATTGACGCTAGCTTCCAAAGGATAGGCAGTTCTTCCTATTTCATTTGGGGGTGTTGGAAGATGAATAAGTTAAGGATAATCAAGTACTTTATCATTTTGTCTATAGAAACTCTCTAAAAATGGGATAGATATTTGAAGAAATAGACTCAATGTCAATACTGTCATGGTTGGAGTAGCCCTCCTCTAAACATTTCTGGGATAATGTTATAAAGCTATAACTGATGAAATATTTTGCGGCGACATCATTATCTAATTTATTAAACATCCTTCACCGACCTTTTCAGATGATTGTATCAGTTGTATCAAGTCTCTCATTTGCTTTCGCGAAACGTAAATATAGCCGAAGTGATTTCACATGTCCTTACACCCATGCCTTCTCCTAAGAAGAACCGTTGCATCGCTATCTTTTATTTGTATACATATGGAGTATTATTGAAGTATCGGTTGTATTTTGATGTTTGTGCTCCTTGTTATTGCTTACTAGCTGCGTTGCAGTTTTCCTTGTTTTCATCCTTCTTTTTATACCAGGTTTTGTCAAATGTTATCTTTCTTTTAAGAATATTTTTGTAACTGGAGGCAATTCATTATTTCCTGGTTTTCGAACGCGGCTTGAGAATGAGGTTCGCTCGATGAGGCCTTTTAAGTCCCATTTCAATGTGCGATTTGCAGGTAAGTCGTGAGCTTTTAAAGGCAGATTATTTAATTTCATACTTAATTCTAACTTCGATGTTTACTGACATTACCAATATTGAGCATAATTTATCGATTTTTAGGTAACCTTAGCAAGCATCTCTCTGGGCTGAGCAAGTTTTAAAACATTTCTTATTGCCCGTTAAAAAGTTAAAAATCCTCGACGACACTCGTTTCTACAGTTGTTAACAGTGGTTACCAGTTGTTACATGCGGTTATCTGTTGTTACCTTCTTACCTCTAATTACCAGTGGCATCTAGCTCTTACCAGTTGCTACTAGCTGTGAAAAGTTGTTACCTGGCTTCAAAAAACTGTTTAACATTCTGTATAATTTGTTTTCCTATTCCTATAAACACTTCGAATAAACTTTTTTGCTCGACCTATATAAAATAGGTAACAACTGTTGGTCAACTGCTGTTGAATTTTTCGCTATCTTCGTCTGCATTACAAGGTGCAAAAATATTCAAAAAAATCCCAAAGGAACACATAACATCAATTCTAAAGTTCAAGAGTTACTGCAAGGATTTTTATTTTGACTTTTAACATTTTTTAAACTTTATCATTGTTTCTTTCTTTAGACATAAATAGCTTTTAAATTAAATGTATTGTAAAACATATATATATGTTAGAAACAATAGGTTAGCAAGTCCTTGGTTAACAGCAGCAAATTCATTTTGCTGAAACAGTTTACTTGTATAAATATGGTTTCATTATTATTTTCTTTAGAAAATCCTGAGCTGGACGCCTGGCTTGGCGCTCGAGAATGGGTTCAAAGTCTATCAAATCTGTCAGAGGTTTCAGTAACGAGATCGGACTACGAAGAGTGTGGCGAAGGCTTTTTGAGGGAACACAAATGTAGCAACATATTCTTCCAAACTCCATCGACTGGATAATTCTAACACATCAAGAAGTAAACGCGACAAACCAAAATGGAATGATCAAATAAGGGGATTTTTGCTTGTTCCGACTCCAGTTATGGTAAAGCAAAAAGGAATTGTATAGCAAAGCACTGTTTGTCACAGATGTTGTTTCTGGAGAAGAGTAGAGTGAACTCACAAAAACTTGGAATTTTTGCAAGCCTGTTCCTTGGATGAGTGTTACTTGGACGTTTATAGAAGATAATGTGATATGTAACAAGATCAGTAAACATTGTTAGAAAACTATATCAGTTAAGTATGTTTTCTAACTAACTAGCATCAATGGAAATTAAGATACCGAGTTGAGATATGGGAGCAAGTATTGAATTGCAAATTAAGGGCTTCAAGGCAAATCTTTCTTGTTAGGACTCAGCAACTATGCTTACGTCTTTACTTTTCTATTCTAACAACCAATTTCTATTCCACCAAGGTTATGAGGTATATAGGTTTTTCAAAAGTTGCTCAATATTAGGTAAGACTTAAAATTTTAAAATTTCTGCTCCATGAGATTTTGCTCAATGAGGTTCTAGAAATCGTTTTGGAATTATTTCAAATTAATATTAATCTGGTGTTCAGCCAGGACTTTTGAACTTCCAGATTGCGCACTTGCTTCCAAGAGATACCAGCACCGATTCTCTAATGCCAGGAAGACTTAAATATGTGTGTTGATTTATTTATCCCTGTGTTTAGTCAAGGCGGGGAGTGTACCCTCTTCTGGCAGGTAATCCAACTGGAAGTGATTGTCTCCAGTCATGAGTCTCTTGGTATTTCAACAGAATATCAAAAACTAGAAAATAGAGAAAAAAATATAATTTAGTATAGGTAGCCCACCTTAAACAGGCTTGACATAAAGAGTTTCAGAAAAATCATAATAGAATTTCTACCAGATTCAGATCTTTTACCAGAAAGCTTTTGTCTACCTTGATTTTATAAGACTTTCAGGATTATTTTTACTTCGAATAGATAAAAATTTCACAACATTAAAAACATATTTTGATTTAACACAACAAGGATTTTTAAATCGGTGAATCTTTGGAAAAATAACCAACATTTTCGATTGGGAAAGCAAGGTTGAACCTTTTTTAGTTAGATTTTTGATTATATTAATATGTATAGGAAAAAACCCCAAAATTAGTCTAGTTGATGAGAAAACGTTTTGCATAATTTAACATAAGTGCAAACTCGAGGTAGACAGCAAAATGACAGAGAATTACCTTGATTGATTGTAAGTATTTTCGAGTAATTGTAACGATTGCCATCTTTCTTCTCCATGTATTCTGGAATAGGCAGTCTTCGAGCTTGTAAATTCAAATCTTTTGCTTTTCGCAGCGTGGTATTCTGGTTGGAAACAAATGATGTTTTATTTGCATTAATATAACAACATGAACATTCCTTACTCAAGGTTAACTTTGAAAGCATTGATTTACCAAAAATACAAGCCAGAGATTGCTAAGCAGTGTAATTTGTTTAAACTGTACTATACAAGGTATGTGGATGTTATAAATAATAATAGATATTAGACATCATGTGACTGGTTGCTCTCTCTGGTTGTAAGCAATGAAAATGCAACATCGGAAATTACTCACTGTATACAGCAATATATGTTAAAAGTAAAGATGCATATAATTTCTTTAATGCACAAACGAAGAGAAGTTGGATGTCATGGGAATTTACTGACTTGAGTTCAGTTAGCCATAAGTCAGAAAATGAGTTATGTTGGTAGTTTTTGTTAAAAACAGACTGCCCATTCTCAACTTATAACAAATAACAAAGCATATAAGCTATTTCATAAGTGCACAATCTTGATGGTTTTTTAATGATGGCATGTTGTCTCTGCACAAATGCTCATACATATAAGAAAACAGTCAATGATCTATCTTGGAAAATGAGCAAAAGAGTCTGTGGAATTTAATTACTTGATTTGTTTACTATTCATCCCCAATTTGACAAAACTTTCTCTACTATCAGGGGAAAGGGATAATCTAAGGAGAACTGTATTTTCAAATACCTTTCGAACTTGATAGTCAACCAATCCACCAAGAATATATACTTCATTTATATCAAAGAATTGAAGGGCTGTGAATAAAACAACACTTGTTTAAATACACCAAGGTTGTTGCGTGCCTGGCAGTTTACAAGTTTCCCATAACTTCAAAGAAATAGTTTCCATTGTGGTTCCCGATAAAAAGCTCTTTACGCAGTATTCATAAAACAGTACTCATAAACTTACTGTTCTGATAAATGTTGATAAAAATCATCAGACAGCAACATGAAAAATTGACACCAAGAAAACAAAATGTTTAAAACTTTCAAATGTGTCTCATAAAAATCTTACATCATGAAAATATTTGAAATTCTAAAATACAATCAAACCTATGTAATGATATTTCACATTTGGACAAAAATGCATGGTCCCAGTCCATTTGGTACAAAATCAAATACAGAACCAAGACATTGATTCATATTTGAAGTTTTTCAGGTGATGATATATCTATAGTATCTAAACTTTAACTAGACAAATATACTAAGTTGTTCTTTACTTTTATAGTACTAGATATGCATTTTGATACCAAATTTTGGATTTTTTATTCTGGTACCTCATTTTGGTTTTGTCACATTTCGCACATGGTAGACTTTTTGGCCTGGTTTTGTCTAATGTGAAAAAAATTCTACTCATGTCAGTCTTACTTGTAAATAATCACTTACGTTGTTCTGCATCAGGGGTTAAATAAACCAAGCTTTTATTTGGGAATGCCACAGTTAAATCCCCATTTACAAAATTGGCCTAAAAGGCAAATTTTTTTCTAGGTGTTCAAAACAAGAAAGTTTATATAAGGCTAACCAGTGAGGTGCAAAGAAGGATGTAAGTTATTAAATGCAATTAAATCTAACCTAACCAAATGCAATTAAATCTTCAGCTCAGAACACAAGTTTTGGTCATCTACTTGAATTACACAGTAATACTACCTTATCTAAAAAACCTAGAATTGCAAAATGTTTCAGATGGTTGTCCATGTCAGTACCAAAATTATATTGTCTTTATCCCACGATTAGCAAGAAAAATCAATTTTTTTTTACAGGACACTTGGTATCATGTTGAGCAACAGTCAATCCAATGAAGCAGATTAGTGACACATTCTACCTTGCCAGCTTGTCTTAGTTCACATCTAAACATACACTTTTTTCATTTTCTAAAAAAATCTCAATGAAAATTTAATATGACTTACAATTATTTCCTCAACCTCCTTGAAGACTTCAATAAAACAGGCATTTACGAGAGTGTTCTCTCTTAGACCAATGAAATTTAAAGATACAGGAGCTTGGCAATTCATGTTGATATGATACAGAAGCTTGATCTGCCTGGCAAGTTTCCATCTATCCTGAAACCCAGTAAACATATCTGTTAAAAATATTTGGGCTTTATATTGATGACAAAACATGTAAGGTTACTGGGACCTTTTTCTTGAATTGACTTATAAAAACATCACAACAGTAGGTATAAACATGATGGTTTCATATATCTAAAAATAAAGCAGGCTGGCATTTTAAAGAGCAAGAATCTACAAGCTAAGGGTTTATGATAAAATGTATCTAAAGTTACTCTTTGAAAGAACCATTTTAAAACTCTGTTTCAGTTCTGGTAATATTTAACATGGGTTAGCACAGGCAGGCCTCCACACACGTTTTAGACTCCCTTGACATTCTATTTATCGCACTTGCTTTTATCGCACATGTCAGGCTTTGACTGGCTATTCTTGTTTCTCTTTGGTTTATTTTTATTTCAAAATTTTGAAAACCTTATATACTTTTACAAATAGTAATGTGCACCTGAAGCATATTCACAAAAGTAAATATCATATTTTAAAGGCTATAAGGTCTACGATTATGGATCACACACCATCGCACTCCTCAACTTTTCAACTATGACTCAAAAAGTGCATTAACAGTTTCAACCTTGTCAGTCATAATATTTGGGAGGTTGAAATCTATTGCGATCTTTTGACCATTCATAAGAGCACTTCTTAATTTCTGCCTTTTCTGATTGTGCAGCTCCATTTTATTTAATCTCCCTAAAAATATAAAAAATAGAGAATGGTTATTTGGGAAGATTCTTTTAACAAATTTTGATACATAGTACACTAAAGATTGTCTTCTGGGATATGACAAATTTTTCTTGGCTACAAAAATATAATGCAAAGACAAAGTTCTTCAGATGTCGAACAGGTCTTAAGCTGGGATGCCACATGTTTCTGAGAGATCTGCAAAATGTATGATCATCCAACAATTTTAATTACACTAACCTACTAAAATTTAACATTACTTTCCTTTTTTATGCTCATTGTTAGAATTTTTCTAAAACTTCCTTTCACTCAAGAAATGTACGCTTTATACATATCAAGTCGGGCTATTACCTAGAGAGCTCATTGTGAGTACTTTTTATACGTCTAGCGACAAACTTTGTTGAACTGCATATCTGTTGTATGTAATTTTTCAATTTGTCTCTATTCACGGTTCTATTATTCAATACACTGTACTACAACTAGGTAATCATTGCTGCAAATTAAAATTAGAGCTTTTGAGCTTGAGTTTTTGAGTTAGTAGTTTATCCACTGTCATAAATTTCAATTCAATTTTAATCATATAAATCAATTCACACGATATATCCTTGGCTGGAATCAAAATGAATCAATTTACACGTTGCATAGATTTCGTGTAGCTAGATAAAGAATGACGACCCATTACATACAACAGAATAGTTCAAAACAAAACAAAATGAATTTCATTTGAATCCGAGGGGAATTTCTGGGAGGCTAGCTGGGGTTTTTTCTTACCAAAATTTCTTGATACCACCCCCCCCCTCCCCCTGATTGAAATGGTTCTTCAAGTACTACTTGGTCGTCTCACCTTGGGAAATGACACTTGATGATAGGAGTCTGATTCCGCTAACGAAACGGTAGGTCAATTTTTGGGACGATTGAATACATGGATTCACCATTTTCTCGTTTTTTGTGTCTTTTACTCCTCTTGATCATATTCCAGAGGCATATTAACGCATTCAAAGCAGCTTTCAGCGAAAGTCTCCATGCTTAAGGAACGAGCATGATTAAGCTGCTTTATTGAATCTGTCTCGTATTCAGCAGGAAACCAAACAACATTCGGCTGACGTCAACGAATTTAGAAGTGCAATAAAGGCTCAATCGAACCACATACCACTGGTTCATATCCCAGAGCCCAGAGTTACCTGAATATGGAGATTTCATTTTTTTTAAATGTGGGGGTTTTTTGATTGAAAGAAACAAATTATTTAAAGTAAAGTTTCAACTCCTTGTCACGTGTAATTGATTAGAGGGTAGTCAAAGCGATCCTAGCCTGCGCCACAGATCTGAAATAGTTATAATGTTTGAGTTATTCTGCAAATCTTTGATTAAATTTGTTGAAACATTAAGAGCATGAAACAGAACTTTGCTTTGACCATTCAGCTGATACATTTAGAGATCAATAAGGTTCAGCTAACAATCAAACAAACGTTGATAAAATATGGGTTAGATTTTTCGCTTCTCTATTCTCCGTTTTCATGAACAGCTCTTAATTTATAAGGGAAATATATATTAGATACTACCAACTGTTTTATTCAAACTTTGATACTTTAAGAAAGCTTTCAAAAATTTGTTTATTTGGCTTTGATACCCAAGGGAGCTTCTGCGAGTTCCTGTTCTGTTCAGTGCATGGCAGTCAAAGGAATTGCGCCAATCCCTAGACGATGGCGCAAGTGTCCCAAGACACTAGTCCCAGGACAAGGAAGCGTCGACTTATGAAGCATGTAGGTCTTGGTCATCCAAATGTTCAGCCTTTGCTGCTTGGCTTCGGTAGCGAAAGGATCCCCGTATCACGTTATTAAAGGGCAAGCGAATAAAGTACGTAAAAGTCCGTGTTTTTAATCTTACTGTTAATCAAAATGTCATATTATTTGCTATTTATCAAAAGAACAAAACCGGTTTGCTCATTGTTACTTCTCTTTCTACCTAGGTGCTGCTATTAAAGTAAATTAAAGTCTGTACAAAACAAATTAGGCTGGTGTCAAGGGCCTAAGGTATGTCTTGAAGTTTTTTTAACTGTCTTCTACCTATAATCACAAGGTACCATAAATTATTACATTCTTGGTATCGTGACAATACTTTTCAGTTTATTACAAGAAATATTGCAAAGAAATATTTTTGCAAAAATTTAAAATTTTGGCTGCTGTCTAGAAATGTAACCGCGCATTTCTTTCTTTTAATAAAAAAGGGGGCGCTCTCTCCTCAATTAGAATTTGTAATGTCTTGATACTTTCATTAATGTGCTGACTTTTAGTAAGTTCATGTAGCTTAATTGTAATGAATTATTTTGTATTTTATGTTTTATTTTGTTGTTACTGTAAGTATGTAGAGGAATTTTAGAATATAAAATTGAAACTGAACATTTTGACGACGGCTGTCACGTCCTATTTTGGTCTACTATGAGCATGGATCGCAACTTCTAGATCTAAACATATCATGGAATTTTTAAAAAAATCTTTGTACCTCTCTGTTTGGTTGTTTTCACTACCAAACCAGTATTGGTATCCTGTCCCTGTTTGTTACCCCTCGTCTTCAATTGAATTACTTACACCTCTTTAGTTGTAAATGTAAATAAGGAAATTAAATTTACTTTTTGTGTTTTATTACCAATTTCTAGAATACGTATTATAATTGATGTTGTATATATTTCACAATTGCTATACACGATGAAAGACTAATAAGTAAATATATCTACTAGAATATCATCCAAACCCTGTTGCTTGCATTAGCTTGAAGGAGCGCGTGATTTCCAAGATTTATCTTACAATTATGTATCACGCTCTTTCAAATTACATGTTTAAATCTTGAATTCAAATCTATTTTTATACTTAAGATTTTGAGCTTACTTTGGTGTGTCTATAAAATTTCTACTTATTTAAACGAAATATGGAAATCATTAAGCTTATACAAGAGAACAAATTTCAAATGTTGGATTAGTAATCTAAGAGGAAGTAACTTTTGGTCAACAAATGACATAACTTTTCAAACTCTTTGAAACGTTTTTTATCGATAGGTTCATTCTAATCTACTTTTTTATTTTTGAAAGCAATTGAAATAGTTGAAGATCGGCACCTTTGCTCATTAAAAAGAATTTATATATAGAAAATAAAAAGAACTTAAAAGATAAAGCAACATATATTTCTGTTTCTGATATTCATACGTATTGAATGCAGAATTTTTGTAAGAAAAAGACAATTTTATGATGATAACAACTACTATTGAATTAATAACGTTGTTTAGACTAACGAAAGAACCCATTTTGTGCTTTTCGTGATGAGCCTTTGTGATCAAAATGCAAAGCACCAAGTTTTGATTTCGTGCAATCGCTGAAAGAAGCATTCATTAACATTATGTTTAAATAGTAAAGAAGAACTTATCTATTTCTACACTTCCGTTTATAGATCAGAATTTGATTAGAAACAAAATCAAATTTCTAGTCTTTTTGGATAAAAAAAAGGGTCAGCATGAATTTATAACTAATTTTTCAAAACAAAAGAAACGCTAGCCAAATGCCTTCTAGGATAAATGCCAAAAATCTCAGAACAATTGGCTCAGCTTATTTTACACTTTTCGGCTCACTAGTATTGTATTTGCTTAGCTTTTGACTTGTTGAGATTTGTTTATGGTGCTTTCTGGAGTGATGCGTGCTCAGTGGTTAAATGATGGTGCTAAGGGATGGTTGTCGGTGGTGGTCGGTGGTGGTCGGTTGCTGTCGGTGTTGGTCGGTGTTGGTCGGTGTTGGTCGGTGTTGGTCGGTGTTGGTCGGTCGTGCTCGCAAAAACAATCTAGTGATTCGATTAGATCAAAAAATTATTATGCTGCAATACTTTCCAGTACATGACAAACAAAAATCGGTTTCTAATTCATCGTTACAAGCCTCAGAACAATTTCATTGTTTTTGTAAAAACCAATATAAGCAACCACCGTTTCTACAGACCATAAATTTTTTTCAAAATCTTTTTGCAATAATACTGTTTCCATCTAATTTTGAAAATATTGTCTTAGAAGGCTCAACCGAGATTCATTATTTGATGCTATTCTAAAGTTACTTAGATTTTTACTGCCACTTTGACAAAAAGAAACGGAAATTATTTGAAGTCATTCCTGAAAAAACGTAAAACACTTAAAGATACCATCCATGTTTTCGTTAGGTTTAGTAAATATTTACTAAATTTTTTACTTAACTTTTAATGTTTGAGAGAACAACATAAATATTTTTCTTTATAATTGGAATATACAATTATCAATAAAGACGCTTAAATCAAAATATTTCAAGATATATTAATAAACTTTGATTTATAAATAATATTTTATGGTTATTTTTGTCTTTGCTTCTAAGCATAAAATTGAGATTCTTTTGTCAATAAATCCTGTCTTAAAATGGTATTTTGTCTCTATGATAATTGCTTTTTGCGATTTGTTTTCAAGATTAAGTATAGAAGAAAAGTACAACTCGACATAATTTTCAAGAATTTCTTTTCTGTTTGAAAGTGTCTATTCAAAACATTTGAGGGGATTTGCACCAATTCCATGAACTGAGTTATGCTAGAGATAAATAATTTAAAGCAATGAAATTTTCTTTCAAGATAATTTTAGCAACTTTTTTCTTTTTCAGGCTTGGCTTTACAAGATGCATTTCTTTTTTTGATTTTCTTTCTAGGGGTTTTCTTCAGATCTTTCTGATATAACCTTTTAACCTTGTGAGCTTTTTTTAAAGAATACTTTTTCGTTAGTTTTCTTTCTTATAGAAAATTTATTTTGGATTTTATGGTTAGAACACATGGTGAGTTTTTCAACATATCAGTTTAACATATGTTTGATCTCATATTAGCTGCTATTTTCCTATTCCTTGAAAGTAAAAAATCGTTAATCGTGGAATCTGAGCAGCTGCAACGCGTCAGTTTTTTTCAAGTTTTTGGATGTTTTTTCTCTTATTTTTAAAAGAAATGTAAACATTGCATACACAAGCTTATTAGGGCATTCAGATGTTATTTTTCTGGAAGAATTTGCTTTCTTGTTGTCCTATACATTTTTTTGAACCTGCCTAATAACCTCCTGAAGTAATGTATATTTTTCTTGTAGGCGCTGATCAAGTCGTTTGGAATGATCTTTTTCTATCTTGGAACATTTTATGTAATTTTCTAGGTTTATAAATCTAAGTAATCGAAAAGAGCTAATGAAAAACTTTTTTAAGGGTAAGTTCTTATATAATTCTTTTTTTATCTTAAACCAATTCAAATTCAATCTGTTAGCTAAATTGTTTTTTAAAACAATTGCTTTGTTTGAACTGAAAGGGCATCAAGAATTATGTGATAGCACCAAATCTGCAACGTTGGAAAAAACTTTTTAACACCCTTTATTTGAAAGAATATCTGAAATTTCGTAAGCCGGATGCAAAAATTTTGCTATTATTTAACTGTTGTGAACATATTGCAGATGAGACTAACACATTCAAGCAAAAAAGAACGCAGCCTTTATGGCACAAATTGATGAAAAGGAAACACAACTTTAGAATCCATTGAATGTAAGTCGCTATGAAATTATTTGAATACCATTTTATGTAATCTTTTAGAGCAAAATACATGGCTGATTGTTTAATTTTTCTTTCTTTTCAGGAATGGTTTTTATACAAGGCGATTTTATGCTTCCTTCCAGATCTTTTTAAAGGAAATTTGGCCACCCACATTTTGCCACATTTGCCAGATATAACTATTCTTTTATATTTCAGAACAAAACATCGATCAAATAACAATGCAAATTAAAAATTGGTTAGTGAAATTTTATGGAAATTGTTATTACAGGAAGTGTTTGTAATTGAAGTAATAAAAACATGCAATAAATCTATATATAAGTTGGCTTTCACATTTAATTTATTTTTATTATTTTAGGTTAAGTGCTACATATGGAAGATATATATTTGCGAAAAGTATTCCATTTTAGAGGTTTCGTTTTCACGTATATTTGATTGTATCACTTTTCCTTGAAATCTTTTTGAATAATGATTTTTTATTACAGTTTTATCTTATAGAAAAACGTTCTTTGGATTAGATAGTTTGAACACCTGATGAGTTTCCAGCTTATGTAAGGCACAACTTTAAAGGCTGCGTTTGCTTTTGTTTTCTTGCTGATAAATGGACAATTAATTAGCATCTTATAGGAATATACAACACAGCCTAGATGTTGAAAATTGACGAGGAAGAAGACTTAGCAGCCAAAATGTTGATTGGATGTAAGTCGACATAAATTATTCATAAAAATTTAATTCTAAGATTTTAGAGTACAACTCTGAATGTGTCTGTTTTTTGTATTTTTTCGAGTATGGTGTTATTAAAAAGGCATTATATATGTATATATATAAACATCAATATTATTTATGTTTTATATCATATTTGCTGCTATATTCTAATTCCTTGAAGCTGTGAAGTACATTTATGACAAAAATACACCTAAAAAACTCTTACATGTCAGTTCTTTTATGATTTAGGACGCTCAATCTCTTTTAGTTGGGAAGCATTTATTTTCAAAGATTTTCTACTTATTAAAAACTTTTCAGGCTAAGTTTAAAAACATTTTATAGAATCTTCTAAAGAAAACACAGACTCAATATGACGCTGCTTACCTATAAACTGCAACTAACATAATGAAACTTTTAAGGCTTCTGGACAGATTTTATATAATTAAAACTATCCCTCAATAGTGGGTGGACACAACCTAGAAGTTACGTATTGATGGAAACAAAACTAGACAGCAATAAAATCGATTCAACGTAAGTTGTTACAAAATTATATCCTTTACATTTTTAAAGGTTTAGCTTAAATGCGCTTTTGTAAATCTGATTGCTGCTTTTTTTTCTTTTCAGGTATTTTGGTCACATAAGACGATTTAATATATACTTTTCACCTTATTTCAAGGGCACTTTGAGACGTCAACAATATATTTTATCGACAAATAAAGCCGTTTCTAGATATCCAAGACTTTATTTTTCAGAGTAGACGCGTGATTTCCAAGATTCGTACATATTTTTTTAAGAAACTATATCCAGAATTCGGGTCCCTCTTTACTGAAATGTTAATATGATCAAAATTGTAGTTGTTTTTCAAGAAAACTTCCTAAGCGATGTGCCCCATTAAATGAATGAGTAAACATTGTCTGCCCTTTGTTAATTACGAATAGGTTTTTGGATCATGAAGCATGTGTTTTAATTCCAACCCTAAACATGATTATGTGATGACAACCAAAAAGGTGCAGGTCATTTTTGGATTGTTTTTGTTTTCTTCAAACCAAAGATTCAGAAGAGGCTGAAACTCAAGAAGGTAAACCTTATGCGAGGGATTATATTTTGCGAGTTGCGAGTTGTCAGTTGCGAGTTGATTTTTCATCATGACAGTTCATTCTTTTTACCCCAATTATACCTCCTTGTGCGCAAAGAAATTCAGTTGCTCAGACGAAAGGGCACATCAGTGGAAGGAGCTGATGCTGAATGCAATGTCCGAGAGGGAGAAAGCCGAACAAGAGAAACAGGTTGGTTTGAGATGCTTTTGCTTGGCCTAAGAATATTTATGAATGGGGGATCTATTTCCCGCCTTGTATTTAAAGTAATATTAAGCAAGTTTCTGTTGTGCATATCCAACTAGCTTATGTTGAAAAAAATCGATTTTGTTACTTGCTTACTGTTACTTGCTTACGGTAAGCTAAATAAGAGTCGAGACTGAGTGCCTGTGCATTGCTTTGTTAATTTTATTGTTTTTTAATCACCAGGATTTACAAGTTAAAGTCCAGAAACTTGAAGAAATGTGCAGAAGAAAAGAGAAATTTCTTCAGGTAGACTATCAAGCTTGGAAGTAATCACAATATTTCTAAATTAAATAAAAAAATTCAATTCACTTAAACTTAAATTTGTATGGTACAATTCATTCTTGAAAGTGGCTACTTGAAATATGACCCTTAATATGAAATCATAGGTATTTTGTCTAGGAAAAAAAAAATTGAATAAATATTTTTTTAAAGCAGCAAAAAATTCGTGAAAATTAATCCCAGCCCCTCATGTTTTCACTTAGTTTAAAAACGTAACAGTTATATTTCACTTGTCTAGAAGTTATTTCTAGTATCTTAAAGAATGAGAAAAAAGAAAAAGGGGGCCGAGGGAGAAGAAGGGGAAACTAAAGATCGGGAACTGATCGGAGATGCAGCCACTGACTGCATATTTGTTTTATAATGATTTGCAGAACTCACAAGACAATTCGCAGAACTCAACCCAGGCAGTGTTTACATGGAATTCCGAGATTTTTTTGGTCGAAGTAATATTGAAGGTTTATCTGACTAACATAATTATCTAATCTTTAAAATAATGATGTAAACTGATAAATTAGGAATTGAAGTCTCGCAATAACATTCTTGTTGACTTTGACTATCTGATTCCTTCCCACTGTTTAATTTACGTAATGGTAGATGTATAATTTTTTTTCTGTTAAGATGTCTTTGAATCGTTCAAGTACTGTGTCTAGCATGGGTTCTATGTTGACAATGGGTGTGTATCAGCCCTATCGCTCTCAGTACAGCATCTGCTCAGTTTTTCACTTACTAGCCATTCCAGTCGTGGTCACATGTCATTCTGAGATACCAGTGCTCTTTCTTGGAAAACCCCAATATCTGACAATATGGACAAATTTTGTTGGTGCCTCTATTAGACTGAATTGTCAGTTTTGCAGAACTTTTAAAATATTATTTATCAAATTTCAGGAACTAAAGCAGATATTTGAAAAATCAGACATCGTTTTTGCCGGTGCACATAAAAGGCGCACAGGAGAAGGGTCAGTACTGTGTTTTGGACATACCACATTGTACTTTTTTTGTACGCTTTGCTATGGATCAAAGCATTACACTTTTGATCTGACATTTCGTCACCTGCCCTTTCGTCACCTGACGTTTCGTCATCATTATTTTTTATATATAATAATGACCCTTTTTAACCTATGAAGTCACTTGAAAGAGGATTCTATTAGTAGTTAACTAAATGCATTTTCTCGTATAAAATAGCAATTGACAACATATTTTAAATATCTTTACAAACCCAAGTCTGACATTGAAAACTATTGTTTCAAGTTTAATTTGCTATTTATCTGAAGTGGACTTAACAGCATTGCTTCTCTTGGTAATACAAAAGTTTGCAGAGTGCATCTTTAATATTTTATGGTAAGCTTTGCTGTCAGTATGAGTATTTGTATACCAAAAAACCTTTTATTTGCTTTAGCTTTTGCGCCGAACTTTTTTCTTCTAAATAACAGTTTAGCTTTAAAGGCAAACCAAATTTTGACACTTTTCTCGATAGATCTTCCTGTCTATGTCTATCTTTTAAGCCACTTTTGTCACATTTATCTTACAGAAAACTGTTAAGATTTGTCTGCATTGGATTGTCTGAGGGTAAGTTTAAAAACACCTTTGATAAATTGATTTGTCTATGGCAGGAGCAAAATATTAGTTTTGCAAAATAATGCAACGTCAAGAAAAAGGAAATATAATTGGATTCAGGGTTGCTAGATAACAAATGTCAAGATCTACAGAGAAATGTATTTCAGTTAGTTACAAAATTTTCCACCTATTAATCATTGAATTGTGAGTACGTTATCTCTTCTTACAATTCCCTCTTTAATATGACTTACCTTATCTTCTTATAAATAGCTACTGCTGGATAACATTACTTTGATTTACCGACCACCTGATAATAAATTAGTCTAAAGATTACCTGGAAAAACTAAGAGGAATCGTTATGTCAAGTTCACATGACTTTAATTGACTTCATTTGATAAATTATTTAATTATGTGGGGTTTTTTTTCAGCCAAGAACTTAACTATGGTCATGTCTTTGAAAAAGAGAAAAACTTCATTACAAGACTTACGGTGAGCATATTTCGTCGTTATTGCATTAATTTGGATTAAAAAATTATCAAAACAAAATAACAATACCATCGATCAAAATAATCTGTGTGAGAAATTAGATAGATCAAATCTGCTATATTAGGCCAGCTTTTTCTTAATAGGTAAAAAGACCCCTTGGTGCCTTTGGTCAAAAAGTTTCATAAATGAAGACATAATGTAGGCTGAAAGATCTAAATCTAAGCTTTGTCTAAAGGAAAAATTCGACGTCTATGGATGGGGGTTTTTTAAAAGACAGTTTGAGAGACTTTAACTTTTACAGTTTTTCGCATCAAAGAGCCACGCAAAAATGCTCTACTTGTTTCAGTTTTTTTAAATATTTCAAATAACATGGTTTGGAATTTGAGCAATTTTAAAGATAAAGTTTTTTCAGCTAATATTTTTTTCTTTTCAAAAAAGCAAAAACTATGTTCATCTTGGCCAAACGTTTACAAAGATAAAATATTAAGTAAGATATTTTCCAACTGAGCTAGCAAATTCTGAAGAAGCCAAATTCTAACATATTTATCTAGTATATTTAAAGAATCAAATTCTGGCAGCTCATCAACTTTTGCTTTCACTGTTCAAATGTTTGGGGCCTAGATGTATTGTCGTTGGTTGGAGTGGCTTGCTGACTGGTTGATGAGGTTTGGTTGATGAGGTTAGAGTGATTAGCTCGCTGGGTTGTCTGTTGAGGTTTGGAGGGGATTTTTGCTGGATTTGACTGTGAAAGCAAAGGTCGATTAACTGTGATCGAACCTGTTTCAACCAAATAATTGAGATTAATAACACCTCTCAAGGGGAAAACTGCTCATTATTTTGGGATTCAAAGGTGCAACTTTCAAAATGATCTTTATATTTATCAATATCATTAGGATTAAATTAAAATAAGAAAAAAGTAGTAAATTTATCTATAAGTAGAAAATTTTTTGTTGTGGTGCTATCAAGAGATTTTTAGGATTCAATCTTCGAGCTTTTAACTGCCATTTTGTGCTTATGTCAGAAAAAACTGACAAATATTGTAAAATTCCCAGGAGATTTATTCATGCACGGGGCGTGTGACTCTGAATTGGATGAGGAGTGCTTTTGAGAAGCAATTATCTCTAGTGTGCCAAACATGCCCAGCACAAAAAGACTGTTTGTTCTTCTTTAAGTTTAAACACAAAGTATCTGGTCAAATGATTCAAATATATCGATTAGCATGTGCTTGTATATCAAAGGGTATTGTGTTCATTGAACTCTAAAACAGTAAACAGCAAAAGGAATATTTATATTGCAACTCATTGCAAGTAAGGGTAGAAGTTGGCTTTCATGGAGACCAAGGGTCTTTCGAGGATCAAAATACAAAGATATCCACGCACTCTCTGCCTTTCCAGTTTTAGGGCAACAATGTCATTACGACAAGCATGATTTGCTTCGTCACTAGATCAGTTTTAGAGTAAAAAAATTAACTTTAATAGTAAATCAAGCTTTAATAGTAAATTTTGAATGGAAGTCATGCTTTTGTGCAAAAAATGTCTTGTTGAATTGCTTCTTCGGTGGACTATTTACTTCAATATTGCTGGCTTTTGCATCCTTTTTTCAGATGATCAGCATTAGAAGAGGCAACCACGAGAAGCGGAACCAAGTGTCAAGTAAACGAATGGAAGATATATGAACACTTTGTAGAGACTGAATCTGAAATCGTAGAATTTTATGGTAGATTACAGCTATTTAATGTACGGTATTTTCTCGCGATATTCGATATGTCCACACGAGGATCTCTTCGAGAATAGAAAAGATTATGAAAGACCTATTCGATGTAAAAGAGCCCTTTAATCGGATGCTAGGATATCCATCCAGACCATTATAGGCTCGTGAGATAACGGATCGTTAATTTACTGACACCAAAGATTTTCTGTTGGCAATACCCACAAGTCCCCAGTTTTTGACAGTCTCCGGTAAGGCCCTCTTGTTCTGATTTAATGTTAAGGTTTTATATAAAATTCGTTGACACTTCTTATCGTATCCTATCCCCTACCCCTTTATTTATCCCTACCATAAGTTTACGATTGATAGGTTGCTAGATATCTTGATAAATAGATAGGAAAGTTGACACGAAGAGCTTTGCAAATATTGAACCTTTCTATATTTTATATCCAAGCCAAATTATGCGAGAAGATACCTTAGTTACTTTATTGTAAAGTTTTCAAATAGGAACTGGGGCTTGTTCTTTGGATGGATGTGAGCAAGGCGCCTGTTCACGTCTGTTTTTAGGACAGGCTCTTTGGTTTCTACTTAGCTTAGTTCCTAATTGTCGCTTAATATTTAATGATTTTTATTTGTATTAATATTTTGTAAGTAGTTTTAAGTATGCTTAGGAGACTGTTTTCAATGTTGTGTAGGGGTTTTTTCATGGTGTTTTAATCGAAGGGTCAACAAGGGGACATTTGTCTTCTTGTTGACTTTTTTGCTTAAAACACCATGTCTAAAAAAACCCCTAGCCTAACATTGAAAGGGTTTCTTAGCACGGTGTTTTAAGCAAAGGGTTAACAAGGGGGACTTCTTCTCCTTCTTGCTAACCCTTTGCTCAAAACACCATGCTAAGACAAACCCCGATTGAAAACAGTCTCCGAGGCATTTAGGTAGAACTTAAATTGTACGTATGGTAAAGTTTCTTGAATGAGTAGGAGAAAATCGAACTGGATTGCTTTCTGACCCCCGTCCTCAAAACCATCCAAAGGAGGCTAGTAGCCCCCCCCCGTCATTTAATGAAATCAAAACGAGGTCAAAATAGTGGAATTTGATTGGCTATAACACAAAAGAAAAACAATAGAAAATTGAGAGCTGTGATTGGTCAAAAAACAATTGAAAGATTGAAATACGGAATCGTGATTGGTTGAAAATACAATGAAGCGTGGCCAAAATAGAGCTTTCTGATTGGTTAATAAACAATGGTGGCCCATCGCGGCCAGGGGCTGCTCTAAAATTGCTATACTAGCAGGTGACGGCTCTTGCCCGCAGCCACCAAAAGGGCCAAAATGGAGCAATCTGATTGGTTAGAAACAATGAGCTGTCAATCATTTGCGGCTCTCAGCCGCTAATAAGTAAGCCCCTGTTCGCGGGCAAAATTTTCTCGGGAGAACAATAGATTACTGGGGGTCAAAATTTACTAAATGCCAGTATCTCAAACTCAGATTTCAATAGAATTTTCAACAGAGATACGGGGGGATGTCTTTTGAATTTCAATTGAAATCATTTGGAAGTTTCCAGAGTTACACAAAAGAACCATTATGAAAATACAATGTGACTTTGCTTTTTAAACAGTAGAAAATTTCAAGATTCCGGGGGCTAATTCAACAAAATTATCAATCAAATACAATAGAAATCCGGGGTGTAATACAATAGAATTTCCATTGAAATTTTTACAGAAGACAATACAAATCCGCGGGAAAATTCAAAAGAATTAAAGACAAAAACAATGAAAAACGGGGGGAAATTCAAAAGGGTTCTTGGTGAAACACAATAGAAAAACGGGGGGGGGGGAATTCAAAGGCATTTAAGATTACAAACAAGAGAAAACCGGATAAAATTCTATAGAAATTCTAGCTGAAGACAATAGAAATCCGGGGGGAAATTCAAAAGAATTTAAGATAAAATACAATGGAAAACGGGGGAAAATTCAAATGAAACTTTAACAAAATATAATGGGGAAATTTAATAAAACGAAAACCATAAACAGGGTTTGTCTACATGAAGGGTGTTATCGTTGGTGTGCTTGCCATCATAATTAAGTCAAGATAACGTAATTTGCATCGATCATTCAATTTAGCGAATGCTGGGCGAGGTTCGATAGGACATCAAAGCCACATATAGTATTTTTGTTTGTATCAATGCGGAATTATCAAGCTAACAAAACGAACGACAAGGTTCTAATGTGAAATTCAAGTAATCCTGAATTTTACAAAACAACAAAATAGATCAATCAACACTAGAGCTTGTATTATTCTCGTTATATTTAGAATGTTCGAAAGTTCGTAAAAATACTTTGCTTCACTTCAACTGCTCCGGGGCTGAAGAACCGGGGCGCATCGTCAATTTGAATCTGTCACAGTGTGCATCACTAGCAAAGAAATGGTAACATATCTTAGCAAAATGATTCACTGGAATTGTAGGGTACTAAATATGAAATCCACACAATAGCCTTTCTCTGCTTCTTCTCGATAAAGAAAGAGTCGATATTTACAAAACGGTGGAGTCATTTGAAAATATTTTCAAACTGACTGTAAAAACATTATAAAAATTTAGTCTTATAATGAATATGCAAATCCATCCATATGCGACCCCGAAGACTAATTTCGTCTAAGCACCAAAACATTTGAGACACCAATAAAAAGCCCCCTCTTTACTTTTTATAAGAACAATTTTATAAGAACACGAGCCTCAAAATTGGTCAAAAGTAAAGAACAAATTAAGAACAAGCCGAGGCTGAGCTTCTGCAAAATGCAATTTTGATCAACGTTTTTTCTCAAAATCGAACATTTTTAGCCATGTGTGGGTGCTTTTTCGGTGAATATTCAAACCTGTCGGCAAATGAAGGTTGTCTCGGTCACTTTGTTGGCAAATGAGGCCTGACTACCTCCCTAGAGCGAAAAAGCTAGCAATTGCACTGTCTACACCCTATTAATTTAAGAACAAATTGAGAACAATCAAGCCTCAGATTTTCGAAAAAGATTAAGAACAGTCAGCCTGAACTTAAATTTACTGGTTCTTATAAAAAGGAGTGTAAACTTCTTATAACAAATATAAAGTAGCTAGTTGAATCACAAACTTAAAATGCGACACGTGGATCCGGACCGGACCGAACCAATCGGGCTGTGGTAAATCACGACTACGTATGGCGAAACAACTAAAGGCTGGGAAACAAATTAAAGATTGGAAGAAAGCTGCGGTTTCAAAAATTCGTACTTACAGAAAGATAGTGGAGAATTCCTAAAATCCATTCGCAAAGGCCGATGTTTTCATGTTGAAGAAGTTTGATTTGAAAAAAACTAGACACACGGGTTGGTGTGAAAACTCTTTTGTGAAGAATTGAAAGGTACTGTTTTGGAATGAATAGAGAAGGTGCTGGAAAAACGTCTTTAAAACAATGAACCGAATCGTGCAAAATTGAAGCTTTCGGTAAAACCCTAGCCTAGGCCATAGAGCTCCCAAACCGAAACTCAATAGCACACCAAAATCAGTTCCTCGCTCCTCTACCCAATTCTAGAATAGTCAAACAAGAGGCATATGCGAATCCATTTTACAGATGTACCCTTGCCAAGACGGACAAACATAATTTTTTGAAAATTTTCTTTCTATGGTAACACAATGTTTAATTCTCAAAACATTGTAAATTTTACTCAAGGGCAGTAAAATTCATAGTGGAATGCGAAATGGTGGGACAGCAAATAAATGCAGAAGTACAAAAGCAAGCACTTCGTGTATATCTATCTACGACCAATGACAATCGAGTAAAAATAACAAAGAATAACAATTTGTCTGCACCTTGTATTTGACTGATCTCCAGAACAAACGCAGAACTGATATATATTCTTCAATATTTCATCGAGTATGGGAAGTTTTCCTACAAATCCGGAAAAAATGAAATTAATCTTAAGATAGAAAACTTCATTCTGCATAATCATTTAAAGAAATTGGTTTATATATTGATGATAAACATAAGAAACAAAGTGAGAGAGTTTGTGCAACAAAATAAAAACAAAAAAGTGTCTAGATTATACAGGAGATAGGAATAAGGGGGGTTTGTGTGATATAAAAAAGGAAAATGAAGTGGGGGCTACAGTTGATAATTTTCAAAGTATAAAAAAAGAAGCTACTTAATTTGAAATTAAAAAAGGGGGCCACTGAAAATTAAAGAGGAGACAAAAAAATTTTCAATCACACATTAAAAATGACACAAACCCGGGGAGAGTCTCTAATAAAAAAAACAATAGGTTGCTTTTGTGATTTAAAATTAAATTAAAAAAAGGGTCACTAAAAACAAATAGGAAACAAAAAAGTGTTACTCAGACATGAAAACAGAGAAAATAAAAGTATCAATGAAAAACAGAAAAGAACTGGTTACCCTTCTGATGTTGAAAATAATGAAAATAGGAACTACTAAATAAAAAGGGGGACGAGAACAGGGTGTTAATCAGATATGTCAATAATAGAAAATCATGGAGTGTGTAAAAAAAAGATCAAAAAAAATACGCTGCTTTTGTAATCTAAAAACTGAAATAAAACAAGAGGCCACAGAAAAAAGAAGAGAAATAGGTGTTAAGCAGATATTAAAAATAATAGAAAATTACCAAGTCTGTAGAGAAAATATAAATAAGAATAGGTTCTTTTTGCAATGCAATCATTAAATGAAAATTGGGGGAAACAGAAAAATAAACCGTGGAGAAAAAGGGTGTCAAGCAGATCTAACAAATATTAAAAAAATAGCGAGTCTTTAATTAAAAAAAAAAGAATAGGTTGCTTTTGCGATGCAAACATTAAATGAAAATTAGGGGCAACAGAATAATAAATAGTAGACAAAAAAGGGTGTCAAGCAGACCTAAAAAATAATAAAAAATTAGCGAATCTGTAATTAAAAAAGAAAGAATAGGTTGCTTTTGCGTAGCATTCATTAAATGAAAATTAGGGGCAACAGAATAATAAATAGTAGACAAAAAAGGGTGTCAAGCAGACCAAAAAATAATAAAAAATTAGCGAGTCTGTAATTAAAAAAGAAAGAATAGGTTGCTTTTGCGTAGCATTCATTAGATGAAAATTAGGGGCAACAGAATAATAAATAGTAGACAAAAAAGGGTGTCAAGCAGACCTAAAAAATAATAAAAAATTAGCGAATCTGTAATTAAAAAAGAAAGAATAGGTTGCTTTTGCGTAGCATTCATTAAATGAAAATTAGGGGCAACAGAATAATAAATAGTAGACAAAAAAGAGTGTCAAGCAGACCTAAAAAATAATAAAAAATTAGCGAATCTGTAATTAAAAAAGAAAGAATAGGTTGCTTTTGCGTAGCATTCATTAAATGAAAATTAGGGGCAACAGAATAATAAATAGTAGACAAAAAAGGGTGTCAAGCAGACCTAAAAAATAATAAAAATTAGCGAGTCTGTAATCAAAGAAAGAAAAGAATAGGTTGCTTTTGCGTAGCATTCATTAAATGAAAATTAGGGGCAACAGAAAAATAAATAGAAGACAAAAAAGGGTATCAAGCAGACCTTAAAAAAAAATAAAAATTTAGCGAGTCTGTAATTAAAAAAAAAGAAAAGGAAAGGTTGCTTTTGCGTAGCATTCATTAAATGAAAATTAGGGGCAACAGAAAAATAAATAGCAGACAAACGAGGGTGTCAAGCAGACCTAAAAAGAAATGAAAAATTAGCGAGTCTGTAATTAAAGAAAGAAAAGAATAGGTTGCTTTTGCGTAGCATTCATTAAATGAAAATTGGGGGCAACAGAAAAATAAATAGAAGACAAAAAAGGGTATCAAGCAGACCTTAAAAAAAAATAAAAATTTAGCGAGTCTGTAATTAAAAAAAAAGAAAAGGAAAGGTTGCTTTTGCGTAGCATTCATTAAATGAAAATTAGGGGCAACAGAAAAATAAATAGAAGACAAACGAGGGTGTCAAGCAGACCTAAAAAGAAATGAAAAATTAGCGAGTCTGTAATTAAAGAAAGAAAAGAATAGGTTGCTTTTGCGTAGCATTCATTAAATGAAAATTAGGGGCAACAGAATAATAAATAGAAGACAAAAAAAGGTGTCAAGGAGACCTAAAAAATTATAAAAAATTAGCGAGTCTGTAATTAAAAAAAGAAAAGAATAGGTTGCTTTTGCGTAGCATTCATTAAATGAAAATTAGGGGCAACAGAATAATAAATAGTAGACAAAAAAGAGTGTCAAGCAGACCTAAAAAATAATAAAGAATAAGCGAGTCTGCAATTAAAAGATAGAAGAAAGAAAAGAATAGGTTGCTTTTGCGTAGCATTCATTAAATGAAAATTAGGGGCAACAGAATAATAAATAGTAGACAAAAAAGAGTGTAAAGCAGACCTAAAAAATAATAAAGAATAAGCGAGTCTGCAATTAAAAGATAGAAGAAAGAAAACAATAGGTTGCTTTTGCGTAGCATTCATAAAATGAAAATTAGGGGCAACAGAATAATAAATAGTAGACAAAAAAGAGTGTCAAGCAGACCTAAAAAATAATAAAGAATAAGCGAGTCTGTAATTAAAAAAAGAAAAGAATAGGTTACTTTTGCGTAGCATTCATTAAATGAAAATTAGGGGCAACAGAATAATAAATAGAAGACAAAAAAGAGTGTCAAGCAGACCTAAAAAATAATAAGGAATAAGCGAGTCTGTAATTAAAAGATAGAAGAAAGAAAAGAATAGGTTGCTTTTGCGTAGCATTCATTAAATTAAAATTAGGGGCAACAGAAAAATAAATAGTAGATAAAAAAGGGTGTCAAGGAGACCTAAAAAATTATAAAAAATTAGCGAGTCTGTAATTAAAAAAAAAAGAATAGGTTGCTTTTGCGTAGCATTCATTAAATGAAAATTAGGGGCAACAGAATAATAAATAGTAGACAAAAAAGAGTGTCAAGCAGACCTAAAAAATAATAAAGAATAAGCGAGTCCGTAATTAAAAATTTACAAAAAGAATCGATTGCTTTTGCGTAGCATTCATTAAATGAAAATTAGGGGCAACAGAATAATAAATAGTAGACAAAAAAGAGTGTCAAGCAGACCTAAAAAAATTATAAAAAATTAGCGAGTCTGTAATTAAAGATAGAAAAGAATAGGTTGCTTTTGCGTAGCATTCATTAAATTAAAATAAGGGGCAACAGAATAATAAATAGAAGACAAAAAAAGGTGTCAAGCAGACCTAAAAAATAATAAAAAAGTAGCGAGTTTGTAGTTAAAAAAAGAAAAGAATAGGTTGCTTTTGCGTAGCATTCATTAAATGAAAATTAGAAGCAACAGAATAATAAATAGTAGACAAAAAAGAGTGTCAAGCAGACCTAAAAAATAATAAAGAATAAGCGAGTCCGTAATTAAAAGATAGAAGAAAGAAAAGAATAGGTTGCTTTTGCGTAGCATTCATTAAATTAAAATTAGGGGCAACAGAATAATAAATAGTAGATAAAAAAGGGTATCAAGCAGACCTAAAAAATAATAAAAAATTAGCGAGTCTGTAATTAAAAAAAGAAAAGAATAGGTTGCTTTTGCGTAGCATTCATTAAATGAAAATTAGGGGCAAAAGAATAATAAATAGTAGACAAAAAAGGGTATCAAGCAGACCTAAAAAATAATAAAAAAATAGCGAGTCTGTAATAAAAAAAATAGAAAAGAATAGGTTGCTTTTGCGTAGCATTCATTAAATGAAAATTAGGGGCAAAAGAATAATAAATAGTAGACAAAAAAGGGTATCAAGCAGACCTAAAAAATAATAAAGAATAAGCGAGTCTGTAATAAAAAAATTAGAAAAGAATAGGTTGCTTTTGCGTAGCATTCATTAAATGAAAATTAGGGGCAAAAGAATAATAAATAGTAGACAAAAAAGGGTGTCAAGCAGACCTAAAAAATTATAAAAAATTAGCGAGTCTGTAATTAAAAGAAAAAGAATAGGTTGCTTTTGCGTAGCATTCATTAAATGAAAATTAGGGGCAACAGAAAAATAAATAGTAGACAAAAAAGAGTGTCAAGCAGACCTTAAAAATATTAAAAAATTAGCGAGTCTGTAATTAAAAATTTACAAAAAGAATAGATTGCTTTTGCGTAGCATTCATTAAATGAAAATTAGGGGCAACAGAATAATAAATAGTAGACAAAAAAGAGTGTCAAGCAGACCTAAAAAACAATAAAGAATAAGCGAGTCTGTAATTAAAAAATTAGAAAAGAATAGGTTGCTTTTGCGTAGCATTCATTAAATTAAAATTAGGGGCAACAGAATAATAAATAGTAGACAAAAAAGGGTGTCAAGCAGACCTAAAAAATTATAAAAAATTAGCGAGTCTGTAATTAAAAGAAAAAGAATAGGTTGCTTTTGCGTAGCATTCATTAAATGAAAATTAGGGGCAACAGAAAAATAAATAGTAGACAAAAAAGAGTGTCAAGCAGACCTTAAAAATATTAAAAAATTAGCGAGTCTGTAATTAAAAATTTACAAAAAGAATAGATTGCTTTTGCGTAGCATTCATTAAATGAAAATTAGGGGGCAAAGAATAATAAATAGTAACAAAAAAGGTTCAAGCAGACCTAAAAAAATATAAAAAAATAGCGAGTCTGTAATTAAAAATAGAAAAGAATAGGTTGCTTTGCGTAGCATTCATTAAATGAAAATTAGGGGCAAAAGATAATAAATAGTAGACAAAAAGGGTTCAAGCAGACCTAAAAATAATAAAAAAATAGCGAGTCTGTAATTAAAAAAGAAAAGAATAGGTTGCTTTTGCGTAGCATTCATTAAATGAAAATTAGGGCAACAGAATAATAAATAGTAGTAAAAAAAGGTGTCAAGCAGACCTAAAAATATAAAAAAATAGCGAGTCTGTAATAAAAAAAAAAAAAGAATAGGTT